GAAGGAAAGAGGACTGAAGTACCATGTTTGGTGGAGGTCTAAGGGAAAGCTACTTTCTCCATTAAAGGAACAGAATTTGAGTTCTATCTCTGGTCCTGGGTAGAGACATTAACCCTCCAGTCTGTCTGGGAGATCATAACATTCAATGTCATTGTCACCTTTCTTGGTGTAGCTAGCCCCTTAGACAGCTTCACTATCAAGTTTGTTCACTTTTCTTGTCACCTACCTTTGCACCTCCCCTTTGGATACAGGTCCAAATCCTGAGTGTCTGGTCGACACTCTGGGCATTTTTTCTTTCTGAAGAGCCCCTTCCTCCATCTAGCTTCATATGGATCTCTGTTATTGAGATCTGCCCCTTCCCCTTTGGGGGACTCTAACTCAAAAGGCTCTCTTTTAATCTCTTTTCTTCCCTCAGCTGCCCAGATGTTTAGCCTGGCCCATTTCCTGCAGCTGCCCAGATGTTTAGCCTGTCCATTTCCCTGTTCTCAAACTCCAACAAAAGAATCCTTGAGAATCAGATCCTTCTGGTTCTGTTTCTAGGTGTACAGTATGCCCTTAGTCCCAGCACTCAGGAGACAGGCAGGCAGATCTCTGTGAATTTGGAATCAGCCAGGGCTATATAATGAGACCCTGTCTCAATAAAATAAAATAAACCAGGCCACAAAAATCATGTAAAAGTATCTTTACATATAGGCGGATCCCTAAAATATTACATTTATCTACCAAAGAAACAGTTTAGATATTTTTTCTGACCACTTAATGAAGTCATAGTTCAATAATTTAGTAACTCATTAAATGTAAGCCATCAATCTGTCTCCTTTTTATAAGACTGAATGAAATAGACCTTTTAAATTTTTCTCAAAATTATTATTTGTAGAATTATATCTTCTGTAATTGCCATTTGAAGTGGTAAGGGGGCATTGGATCCCTTGGAACTGGAGTTCCAGGCAGTTTTGGGCTACCTGACATGGGGGCTGGGAACTGAACTTGGGTCCTCACAAGAGTAGCAGATGCTCTCAACCATGGAGGCTTCTCCAGCTCCTGAAAAAAGGAAAGCTAACAAGGACGTTTTACAAACATGCAAATACAGCATTTTATATCATAGCCTACTACTGTCCCTCCTGTCAGCCCCTAAATCATGACATAGAGACTTCTTATTAATTATGAAAGCTCGGCCGATAGCTTAGGCTTGTTACTAACTAGCTCTTACAACTTAAATTCACCCATTTTTTATTAATTTACTTCCTGCCTTGTGGCTTTTTACATTTACTTCATACTGCCCATGCTCCTTCCTCTCTGTCTGTCTGGCTTCTCCCACATCTCTGCCCTTCTTCCCAGTGTCCTGTGCCCTGAAAATCCTGTCTAGCTAATGGCCGTTCAGCTTTTCACTAAACCAATCCAAGTCATAAATCTTCACAGTGTACAAAAAGATTATTCCACAACAAGCGTCAATAAATATACTTATCACTCATATGTTATCATGAGGACAAAACATAGCAATAATCCAACAGAAGTGACATAAAGTCTTACCATGGAAAAAGCAGCTGATACCTCCTGAAGTTGTAAGATAGAAAAATGCCCTTGAAATAATATGACACTAGCAACTGCTAGAACCTTCCAGTCTTCCATCTCCATCCAAAGCCAACTTTCTGTGGATGGCAGCCACCTCCAAATGTTCCTTTTGGTCCCTTCATAGTTCTGTGATTGTTACCAGATGGGGTCACCGCTTGAAGGTAGGGTCATTCATCTGTCCTCAATGAGCGATTAAAAGAACCAAATTAAAGCAAAACTCAGAAAAAGAGAAGTTATTCAATGTGGCCATTTAGGGAAAGGGGACAAATAGATCCAGTGAACCTCACCCGAGTCTGTCTTCAGGGTCCTGAGGGTTAGGGTTAGGGAGAGGTGAGAACTATATATATCTAAGCAGTCCTGGTTAAGATGAGTGGTCCCTGCATGTCTCCGATCTACCTTTTGGCTCAAGATGATCTAGAAGTGTAACACTGTCTCTCTGGGAGAAGTTCTGTTCAGGCTGGCCCTGGCTTTAGCCTTTCCCTTCTTTATAACCATGCAATTCCTACCGGCACTCTAAATTGAGGTTAACACAAAAGCACAGCTCTCAGCTCACAAGAAGCAAGAGATGGATTCCTTTAGAGATAAGATACAGTGTTCCAACACGAAAATAGTTTCACGGCTTTTTATGGGAACAGAATAAAAGAAGCCGCAAACCAAGGAACTCTGAAAATACATTTGGTGGAAACATAAGAGAGGTAGTTATAGCAAGATGGCAGAATCTCAACAGGCCTCAGGTCTTTTCTGATAACATTCTTTGAAAATTTATTTCAGGTTTATTTATTTTATGAGTGTTTTGTCTTCATGTTTGCATGTATCACTTGATTTGTGGTGTCCCACGTGACTCGTGGTGTCAGCAGATGTCAGAAGAGGCTAACAAATCCCCTGGAAATTTAGTTACAGACAGTTGTCAGCCACCCGGTGAGCACTGGCAGCTAAGCTGCTGAGCCTTCACTCCAGCTCTGAGATAGCATTCTTAACTCTTCCAGTGGTGGAGGGGAGGGTTTTGCTAAGTTAATGCATTCCCAAGGTTTTATCTGTTTGTCAGGATGACACAGGGGACTAAGGATAGCTGCTTGGAAGGTTAAAGATCACCCAAGATAAACTGTAATTTAGCCTTGAGGCTGCAACCTTCCAAACTTTGCCCAACCCTGGAGTTTACAGCAGCCGGCCTCTACACACAGCTTCTTTTCAGGGACTGTGGTTCACAGGTCCATCATTTCAATTGTCTGAGAGCTGGAGTGAGGGACACAAGAGTTTCTGCAGGAAATCTTCATCCCTGCCAGACTGATACATTACCATACCTGGTTCATGTAGTACCAGGAATTGAGTCCAGGACTCTGTGCACACTCTACCAGCTGAGCCACACCCCACTCTATGCATCTGTCTTTAATTTCACTAATAGGATAGACCAAGCTCCTTTTGAGCTTACTGAGCTCATTCCATCACCAACACTCAGAACTGCTCCCAGAAACGAGCTTGGATACTCCCATGCTGAGCAACAGGCATCCTGAAGAGGGATGACTACAGGGGCTGTGATCAAGCAGAGCAAGGAGACTGCTGAAAGGCCACCTGTGGCTTAAAATAGTAAAATGGCTTGATGGTGCTTGTGGGTGCCAAATTTCCAGGTCAGTTTATAAAATTGCTTGTGTTCAGTAAAGGGAATCTGGGGGGACATTAAAACCCCCTTCCCTTGTGCTTCCCTGTCCTGGAAAAACTACCTTTGGAGCTCATGTGGCTGTATGCCCTGGGCACATTTTCATTTCTGGGCTCTGCTCTTTCCCACAAGGGACTGGATGAGAGTTGACAGACTGCTGCTCTGTGACATCCTTGGCACTCTGAGGTGCAAATTCACCTTTGTGTCCCACCTTAGCGGTAACCTGAATGTGTCCACTTCAGACCCTGATGCTCCTGTAAGAGTCTGATGCAAGCTAAGAATTGAAGAAAAAGTGTTTGAAAACCATAGGAACACAGGCCCCATTGCTCTCTGTGACACTATAGAGCCTGGAAACTTAGACATTGGTTGTCTGGTGTGTTCATCATTACTGGGAGCCTGAGGGTCACTGATAAGTTTCTCCAAGGGCTTTTTAAAGGAACATGACCTGTGTGGCTGCACTTCATGATCAGCCTGGGTTGTTGTTTCTCAGATCTATTTTTAGGTAGAAGGAGGGACACATGTGCATGTCTGGGAGGGGCAAGACCTGTAGACTCCCCCACAGGTAGTACAAATCCACATTTCATTTATCATCCAAGTGGGGAAACGACAATAAAAAGTCTGTTTTTAGTTTGCAAAAACATTAACATTTTCATGATGGTAAAAGGCAGAAGTTTACTCTGCTTCGGTCTTGCCTTTTGTTGTGAATTAAATGCATGTGTGGCCGGCTGTGGGACACCGTCTCTTCAGTGTCTGGAGTCTGAAAACCACCTTGCATAGTCTAGCTGACAGATATACTCTCTTAGGAAACAGTTTTTGTTAATCATAAATCATGAAGAAATTTAAGACAATTTGTTGGCATACATATGATTTTATCATTTAAAAAGACCAAAGTGAATTTGTATGTTAATGAGAACATGGTTTTCTGTATTTTATTTTGGTGTTTTGAGACTGGGTTTCTCTTTGTAGCCCTGACTCTTCTGGAACTCACTCTGTGGATTAGGCTGTCCTTGAACTCAGAGATCCCCCTGCCTCTGCCTGCTGAGTTCTGGGATTCAAGGCGTGTGCCACCACTGCCCTGTTATTTTTATTTTAATTAAGTTACAATTATATTTCTCCCTGTTTCTCCATCCGGCCCCTCTTATGTCCCCCTTCCACTCAAATTCATGTCTTTTTCTTTGTTATTATTATATGTATAAAACACACGGATTTATAACTACAACCTACTGAGTTTATTTAGTCTCGTTTGTATATTATTTTAGGGCTGAGTACTTGGCAGTGGATAACCAGTTAGGGGGCTTATTCCTGGGGAAGACAGAGTCTCCTGCTCTCAGCTCTCCTTAGTTGTCTGTAATGTTTGGAGGTTCTGTGGATTCCCCCTTCCCCGTTTGCATGCTAAATACATTTTCTCCCAACCTTTAGCATCAGCTGTGTGAACCCCAGCCTTCTCCAGGCAGATGCCTAAAATATCTGCCATCAGCAGCCTCTTATAGAGGAATGTTAATTGTTACCATGATGTCAAAGAGGCTCCAAGAGAAGGGCCTGGGCCAAACTCAGCCTGTCACTCTCTGGCAGTGGCTGAGTGGGAGATAGGCTAAGCAGACACACAGAGAACCTGGCCCTCTCAGCTCCCCAAACAGCCCAGGCAGCAAGACAGACTGGTGTTGTGCAGTAAGGCTCTTACCAGGAAAATGGCTTTCCAGATGTTACCACCTCAGTGAGAAGCAGGCTCGTGGCGCTTTCTTCTTGCCTTTGCCCTTACCAAGCTGGAACTGGGATGTCAGGGGTTTCAGAGGAGGATCTAGAGGGTCTGGGCCCCCTGGGTCTGCCAGCGTTGGGCAGAGCCTGCTTAGCCACCATGGACAAAAAACTTACCGTGCTGAGCGAGAAGGTCGACAGACTCTTGCATTTCCAGGACGACGTCACAGAGAAGCTGCAGTGTGTGTGCCGAGGCATGGACCACCTGGAACAAGGTCTGCACCGGCTGGAGGCCTCCCGGGAGTTGGGTCTGGCAGGGTCTGACAACCCTCCTCCAGCCGCTGCTCAGGGTGCATGGCCTGAGGTCCTGGAGCTGGTGAGGGCTATGCGGCAGGAGGGTGCCCAGCATGGTGCCAGGCTCGAATCCCTCTTCAAGACCGTGATGGCTGTGGACAGGGCTATTACTTTGGTGGGGGCCACATTCCAGAATTCAAAGGTGGATGATTTCATCGCCCAAGGGACCGTGCCCTGGAGGGAAGGCAGCCTGGTTGACCGCCCTGAGGAGGTTGGTTCTGGGTTCCCTGCCCTGGCTGGAGGGGGTTGCGGGACCCTGGTGGGAAGACTGGCCAGGAAATGATTTCTAGAAGAGCTGGGGACATTGCTTTCTTATCATGCTCCTGTGTCCTGCTGATGAGGAAATGAAAGATGGAAATTTAGGGACTGTAGATGGATTTCTTTATAGACCAATAATCCCCACTCTCTCTAAGAAAAGATGAGATAGTGGTCCAGTCAGCATGTAGGTCCTTAGCAACTCCAGGCCACCTAGATGTGAGGAACAAACTAACTATGAGGAAGAAGAGGGTGTTGTGCTTAACATCCCTGGGACTTCTCTCTGGCCCTTGTTTGCCCTTTTATACCTGGAATAAGAGACATGGTCAATTTACCCCACAGCCCTTACTCAACAACCCAACCCTCACTGTCCCCAACACTGTTGTGTTCCAGAGTTGGCAAAGTGTGTAGCTGCCTGTGGGGGAATGAGTGTTGACTCACAGGGGGCAACAAGCAGAAGCCTGACCCGCCCCTCCAAGGTGACAGATGACATTTATGGGAGTGGCTGTTCCCAAGGGTTGTATAATCACACCCATGAGCTAATAGAAATTTGTCCATTGGATGTGTGTGTGTGTGTGCTTGCATGTGTCTGTGTGCAGGGAACATCCTGTTTGGAACAGATGAGGGCCAGCCACTTACCAACACCAGATAGCCTGGAGCCACCATTTAAGATTCTGTGATTATCACTTGCCCCTGGCAGGTGATGGATTGGGTCTAATGAGGCCTGTACTTGAAGAAGGTGCCTTCCTTCCCAGTCTAGCAGGTCCCAGGCCCCTCAGCTGCCTCTCTTCTCCCTGTCCTCCCTCATGGAGAGCGCCTCTCCCTCAGCTCCCTGCTCTGAGGCCCTGGAGATTCTGGCCTGCAGAGAAATGGGACACACACAGTGGCTCTGGTCACTGACAACCAGCATGGACTTTGTGAAAGAAAGAGAATCTAATCTAATTACACCCCTAAAATAAATCAAATTAATGTCCTTAAAAAGAAAATTAAAGTAAAATGAATTTAATTTGATAATTTAACATGGTAAAAGAAAAGCATTTTTGATATAGGAAGCCCTAGGATTAATCCTCAACACCCAAATGAGAAAGAGATAGAGAGAGAGAGAGAGTGTGTGTGTGTGGGGGGCAAGCAAGGATAAATCCAAGAAAAACTCATATGAAAAGTGGCTCCTTTTGATTCCACCCCCATCCCCAGACTCAGTTTTCTGGTTCCAGTGAGCTATCCAAGTAAAGGTTTTGCAACTAAGAGCACATCATGTGGATAAAGCCTAATCAGCCTTTCAAAATGTCAAGGCAAAGTGTGGCAGTACATGCCTGTAGGAGGATCAGGAGCTCAGGGCCAGCCTGGGATATATGGGGCCTTGTCTAAAAAATATGCTCAGTCATTCAGGGGATGTGGGTGGAGGTTCATTACGCCTTCAGAAAAGTGCTTCTCCTTAGCTTTCCTGAGTGTGGGGAGTAGATGCCACCCCTTACTTGGGGGATAGTTCTGCTACAAAATAATGACTATTTGCATAGCACATTACACTAGGAACTATATGATACAATGTATAATGTGCAGATAACTTAACGTCTACAGGAAGATGCAGGATGCAGGCAAATACTACATTTCCTGTGTGTCCTGGATACTATGGGGTGAATGATCTTCAAGAGGTTTGTTTTTGAAGTTTTTCATATTGAAATATTAAAAATGCACATGAGATCCCACTTTTAATTCATCAGCATGAAATGAATAGTGGAAGAGAATTAAAATTCTGGGTAATGTGTTTTTTAGAGGAAGAGGTCTCATACAAGGCAGGGAACTAAGCTGGGACAAGTGGTGTTGCTCAAAGGGGGCTCTTACCCAGCATGCCCAGGTCCATGTTTCAAACCCTGCACTACGATAAACAAGCAACAAGTAGAATTTAGCATTTTTTGTCTAAAAGATAAGGGCTACCTCGGAAGCACAATCATATTGCTGTTAGTATATCCCTGAAGTAAACAATTTTGCTATTATTTGATGTTAACATCCAAACATCCCCAAATGTCTTAAACTTCTTAAAATCCTTAGTTTTCCTATTAAGTCAGACCCAAACGAAGCAATTGGTGATGTCTTATAAAACCGATTCTTCTTTTGAATTCATAAAAATATGTCTTTTTACTAAGGAAAACCTCAAACACAGCCACGAGCAAACAGAATAGCATATCCTAGAGCTTTGCATTTTCAGTGAACAACCTGATCACAAATTGTCCTCCTCTTTCCTATTTTGTCTCCCACCCTTTCCTTATTTGTTTGTAAGAGCTATTTGTAGACTATCAGAACTAACTAATGCCCATGTTGTAAATGTATAGACACTGAGGAACAGGAAAGCACTGTTACCTGTCTGTGCAGCCCCACTGTGTTTCCCATCTGTGTCCTGTCTGCCCATGAGATTGCCAGCTGTTGACTGGATCATGACACTTCTATTGTCAGGGATGAACACATTCCCCATGTTGAAATCCAGACTCCAGAGATGTCTGGAGACCCTCCATTTGTTCCTTAAGAGAGTGGGGGTGTAGTAGTCATACACAAAACTGAATTACATCCTAGCACTGGCTGTTACATTTGGAAATTATGTCAGGGCTTGGTCAAGGTCTTCCTTGATTACTTTGTATTATATTTTTGTGGTGATGCTGGAGGTTGAACTCAGGGCCTCACATGTACAAGGCAGATGTCCTGCCATTGGCCCACATCCCCAGCATACCACCCATCACCTGCTTCATCCTCTAAAGTTCTCACTGAACTCTGGAATGATGAATTAGATTATCATTAGGTGCCAGCTGCCCTCAGCTTCAGGCTCAATTATGGATGGGCCCAACACAGTCAAGCTGTTCAGGACTTCAGGCCGCATGAGCAGGTGGACACAGGAAGCTTCCTATACCAGAGAAAAGGAGGGAAAGGATTATCTGAGCCAACAGGGGCTGCCTCAGGACAGTGCACAAGTCAGCCTCTAGAATGAAGTGGTCTGTGGCAATGCCTCTGGTTTCCTGAACAGGAGAGACAGGATAGACCCTGCTGAGGAAGGAAGAGGGGCTGTCTGCTACACAGGTCTGGGCCACACTGATGGCATGAGGATCATAACAACAGCTAGCATATTTTTTTTTATGTGCTGGGTGCTGGGCTATGTGCTCTCCATGTATTGGGTCCTTACTATTAAAAGAGCAACACTGGGCTGGCAAGATGGCTCAGTAGGCAAAGACGGCTGTCACCAAACCTCATAAACCGAGTTTGATCCCTAGGACCACCATAACAGAGAAAGAACTGGCTCCCATAAGTTGTCCTCTGACCTGCACATGTGCACACACTAAAAGGAAGACAGATAAAGAAGGAAGGGAAGGAAAGTTAGAGTAAAACTTACTGTCCTTGGGATTGAAAATGGCTCAGTGGGTAAAGACACTTGCTGTCAAATCTGAACACCAGTAGTAGAAGGAGGGGCCACTTTTGGGAAGTTGTCATGTGATCTCCAAGGGTGGGGCTCATGCTTTCACACACACACACACACACACACACACACACACACACACTCTGAATGAATGAGTGAATGAATGAATGCAATACTTGATGCCTTGGAACCACAAAGGAGTGAGAAGGGAACAAGACTGAGCGTAGTGAGTGAAGCAAAGGTAAAAAGAGCAGGGGCATTCAGGAGAGGGGAGGACTTTGGGGACCTTCCCTGGAGGACAAACAAAGCATGTAGGCCAGGAACGGAAAAACAAACTCTACCCCAAGTCAGATCAACATTCAAGCTGCTATAGTTCTGATTGGATTCTGAAGTCAAATCATGGTTGGGGGATAGGGCACCACAGTCAGTGTCTAACCGTAGCCTGGGAGCTGGGTGGGGGATCCCACATCACCCTTCTCAGTGCAGCAGTGTGGCAGGAACCTGGCCTCTCAGGTCAAACTTGCTGCTTTTAACTCTGCTTCCAGCACCTGGCCTATTCCTCTGCTTCTCTGCTTCTCACTTTCACTGTGTAAATCAGGAATTGCTCCATTTGCAAATATTATCTCATAGAGCGGGCAGTCACTGTAGGAACTAATCTGTGAAATGCTTTGAAAAGTGTGTCCAGCACACAAAAGTTACTCACCAGCTACAGCTATCTTGAAACACAGTGACCAGTGCCAAGGAGCCCACTGTGTAAGGATGCTGGGCGCTGGTCCAGAGGGATGACAAGCAGCTCTTCTTTAAACCTAAAAGGTCTGCTATAGACCAGGGCCTGACAGACATCCTCAGAGCCCTATACTGGTCCTGGTCACTCTGTGACTGTCAGGGAACTCTCCAGAAAAGGTTTCCATCTCTTGCTGGAACCCCCAGGGGGTTTTGAACCTTTGGCCAGTAAAATCCCAAATGTGGCTCCTGGTGCTAAGTCATAGCAGCAGCTCTGGTTAACATGCCCCCACTCCCCCTACACCATGGTAGATGACTCACTAGTAACAGGCCTCTCTCAGGCCCCAGCCTCATGGGTCCTTAATGGGAGCCTAGGAAAAATATAGCTGAAGACGCATTTTATCTGCAGCATTGAAAAGATTTTAATTGGTTTCCAACACTGAAAATTTAAATCCTCAGATTAAAATTCTAGGGATCTCTTGGGGGTAGCAGAATTGTCCTACGTTTTATACGTTTGTTAAACTGGTCTGGTGGTGGTGGCGCACACCTTTAAGCTCAGTACTCAGGAGGCAAAAACAGGCAGAATTCTGTGAGTCTGGTCTTTACAGGGAGTTCTAGATCAGCCAGGGCTACACAGTGAAACGCTGTCTCACACACAAAAAAAAAGTTTATAGTTTGTGTGTGTGTGATTTATTGTATACAAACAATGCCTGAATAAATTATTTTTATTTAATTTTGTGCTTTAGTAAGTCTGATTTAAACAAAAATCTAACTCCAGTTCCTCTTGAAAAACAAAGGTCTGGCAGCTCCAGGCCCAGTGCTAAAACTCATCTGGAGGCAGCTCCTCAGCGCTCAGGCTGAAGGCACCATTCACAAGCATGATTTGACTTCAGAACCCAGTCTCAACCAGAACGATAGCAGCTTGAGTAGCAGAGCTGAGTTGATGATTTAGGATTTTTTCCCATTCCTGGCCTAAGACCCTTGCACCCCAGGCTATTTAGAACTTCCTCTTAGGAGACCCAGCTCCCTAGCCGTTCAGTGAAGTACTGGAAAGGAGGTTAGGGTTTTAGGTTTGAAACTAGGCTCATCCGGCCTCCATGTCTGGCCACACTGCTGTGGATCGTATGAAATTAACTATATTTAAGCATGTGGTAGGCAGTCCACGGATGTTCGAATGAGGGTGTTTTTATTGTGGTTGTTTTAGAACAAGGAACAAGCAGAAGCTACGGGAGCAAAGCCAAAGCATGTGCTGACTGCCGGAGGAGCAGGTGAGTACCCCTGCTTGTTTCCACCACACATACAATGGTTCAGAATAAAATACCAAGTGCACCACCCGTGGCATGGTTGTTTTAATTTTGTATGGCTTTTTGAGACAGGGTCTCATGTATCCCAGGCTGGTCTCAAACTCCATGATGTAGCTGAGCATGACCTGGAACTTCTGGTCCTCCTGCTTCTATCTACAGAGTTCTAGATTGCTGTTCTCTTTTAAAAATTTACATGCCCAGCATGGTGGTGCATACCTTTAATCCTGGTACACAGAAAGCAGAGGTAGGCAGATCTTTGTGAGGTTCAGGACAGCCAGGGCTACACAGTGAGACCCCCTCTCAAGAAGACAAAAATTCTTTTTTCAAACAATATTTTTAGGGTTCTAAAGTTAAATTTATGAAACCATGTATGCTAAGAGAAGTCTGGCTTGTGTCTTCTTTCTTAAGGCATTTATTTGTGATCATTTAAAAGTCTTATCTTTCTTGCCAGGTCCAGTCTGTGCAAACCACTTATAAGTAGCTGTATGTTTACACACGTGTGCACACTCACAGATTTCTTCCCATCTTCTCTCAGTGTGTATTGGTGTTTTATCTGGTGGGTCTGTGCACCGCTTGTGTGTGCGTTGTGTATGGAGGCCAGAAGAGGGCATCAGATCCCCTGGAAATGGAGTTACAGACACATGAGCTACATTGTGGGTGCTGGATTCTCTGGAAGACCAGACAGAGCTCTTAACTGCTATTAACTCTCAGGCCTCTATTTTCTCATTTTAAAAATGGCTCCATTGGGTGGATGTTCTATCATAGACACATCTCCCATGGGTTATGTCCTGTTTTTGGCTTTTGCAGATGCTGTACATGGAATGACACATATATGCTTGTCTTTGTGATCTGTGTTTCTTAGAGTGTGTTTTCATGCTTCTTATTATCTTGCAGAGAGCCAGAAGGAGGACATAGCAGTGGGGACAGTGGAGAGGCTGCCTCTCATCATCAATCCTTCACTGAAGGGAGCTGACTTCACCCAGGGAGGAGCCTCAGTGAGGCAGGGAGTTGAAGTTCTTGGCCCAGGCCAAGTACCCCCACCCACAGAAGCAGAAATCAGGCTTCCTGAAGCTTCCAGTGAGAACCCTGGGACTACCCTAGAATTGTCTGTAGCACTCGGCAGAATCAGTGAGGTCTTCACCAGCCTCAAGATGTCCCAAAGTGCAGAACAAGGAACTTCGTCAAGCAAGCCTGACTGTTGGCTCTCAGAAGAGGGCATGAGACTGAGTTCAGGGCCTAGCCCTCTGTCCCTTGGGCCGCTAACTCCAGCCAGTGAAGTTCACAGTGGTGAAGCACATCCCAGGTAAGGGATGCTCTTCTGTGTTGGGCAATGGGTGCAGTCAGCTGCATCCATTTACGTGAAGCATGGCCAGCGGACCAGTGGCACATGTTGGGTGACCACTGTATATATAGAGCGGAACTAGATTCATGGGGAATGATCTATGTTTGGGGTCCTAGGGGTACTAGTATCCACCTGGCCATTAGAATTACCTGGGATAGGGAGTGGGGATTAAAAAGAAACATCCACGCCCAGAGATTCTGATTCCTTTTGTCTGCAGTGATTCTTGGGTATCATTCTCGGATTTTTGTTTTTCACCCTAATGGGGAATAGGGTCGAGAATGACTAACTTGTAGATGGAGTTTCTGTTCTACCTGGTCCCACAGCTGTTTAGCCCCAAATAAACACACAGAGACTTATATTAATTATATACTGTTTGACTGATGGCTCAGACTTCTTACTGGCTAGCTCTCTCTTAGATAAATACTTCAACAAATGGGTTTCACAGAGCACTTCATCACATGCCAAGCACTGGCCTAGCTTTCTGCAGGCATCGTTTCATTTTAGTCTCCCAGTATTCCCAGCATGTGAAGATGGTTGTCATATTATTTTACTGATGGTGAAATTTGGGCTGAGTGCTACCGCCACACAAAGCTGGGATCTGAGACTAATTTATCAATCTGCGTGCTTAATTGCGCACCTGCTTCCTCGGGCCAGCACTAAGTCCTGAGGAGAGAAGGGTGGGGCAGGTGGAGTCATTCTAGGGGCTTTGGGGAGGTTTATGTCAGAGGTTCTGGAAAGGCAATGATGCCTGGGACATAGCTTCAGGAGCTACGCTCAGTAGAAACTGTAGAAGAGAGAACTGGCTGGCTGTATCCCATCTGTATTCAGTGCTGTGGTACAGCACTGCTGTGTCCACAGCCTGAGGGGGCCCTGGCTTTCCAGGCTTCTCTTAGAGTTTCTTGATGCCCTCTGCACTTGCCTGAACTCCCTTAATCTGTTATGGAGACCACAGACCTGGGACTGGGACATTATCTAGCCTCTTTTTTGCTGTGGTGATTGGTTCTGAAAGGAAACCAGACCCCACCCACCCCACCTCCTCTGTCCTAGGAGCCTTGACACTGGCCTCAAATTCACAGAGATTCACTTGCCTCTGCCTCCCAAGTGCTGGGATTAAAGGTGTGCACAACCACTACCTGGCCACTAATAATTTTTAATGTGCTATAGAAGATAAAACATTGAGTTTGTAGTGTATATGCTATATAATCACGGTGGGTTAGGAGTTAAGGAAAGATCAACAACATTTTAGTTCTCTGTTTATCCTCTTATGGAAAATTAGCCTCCAAGTTTGAAATCAAATGTCTCTGAAAATATTGGGGTTGGAGAAATGACTGCCAGTCAAAGATTGGAGTTCAAACCCCAGCACCCATTTAACAATCTGGGCATCTCATGACTCCTATAACTCCAGCTGTGGCAGGGGCAGAGACAGGGGATCACTGGGGCTTCTAGTCTAGCAAAAATAAAACAACAACCAAGATAAACAACAATGACAACAAAAACTCCATGAGCCCCAGATTCAAGGACAGGGTCTGCCAAAAAAGAGTGGACAGAGAGCCGTGGAGGAAGATGCTTGAAGTCTTCTTCTGACATCATGCACAAGGACATGTATACCTGCAAATACCAGTGTGCATGTACTCACAGGCATGTCACATGGGCTCACATACCTGCATTTACAAGTGTGCATGCACATGTCATATTGGCACATATACTTGCAAATACAAGTGTGTAAGCACTCATAGGACATGTATACACATAAACAAGTAGATACAGGAATACGTCTTTGTTTAAAAAATGTTTACAAAAAGAAACACAGATATGGCTTTTTTAGACTTTAAGAAGAAATAAAAAATGGTTAAGATGGGCCAGGGGCAGGCAGTGGTGGTGCATGCCTTTAATCCCAGTACTCAGGAGGCAGAAGCAGGCAGATCTCTGTGAGTTTAAGGCCAGCTTGGTCTACAGAGTGAGTCCCAGAACAGCTAGAGCTGTTACACAGAGAAACCCAGTCTCAACCAAAACAATTATTAGGGTGAATAATGTAACTATATTTTAACTAAATAAAAATAAGGCAACCAGGCCTTATGTTGTACAAATGATGGCTAGAAAGTATAATTTAGTATTCTTATTATCACAAACACTATATATAGCATGAATGTTATTGAAGCAATTTTGTCATTTGTATTTGTCTTATTTTTTACTAGCATTTTTACAATCTTAACAGATCCTTTCATCAGTTGGCTTAAAACAAAACAAAATCATTAGGAAGACTGGATTACCATGATCCAGAGATAAAACAGCACACGCAGTTCTGACAAGGCAGTGATGAAAGCCAGGAACTTGTACATGCTAAGTGTCTTAGTTTGCTTTCTGTTGTGTGATAAAATGCCATGACTGAAAGCAACTTAGGGGAGAAAAGATTCATTTCTGCTTACAGGTTACAGTGCATCACAGAGGGACGCCAAGTCAGGAACTCAAGGTAGGGAGCTGGAGTTAGGAACAGAAGCAGAGAACCCCTCCTTCTCCCATTAAACCCAAATCACCTTCATCATAAATAACTCAACCACCTATACTATTAAACCCCAATGCTATCTCTACTCCCTCATAGTATTTAATCACAAATGTCATTCCCAATTCTATAAATATACTTATCACCAAAATTCCAAAAACCAATCAACTTGATACTCAAGTCTCAGGATATTCTTCAGCTGACATAGCAGTTATATAACTAGAAATTATATATATATATATATATATATATATATATATATATATAATTGATACCCATTATTCCACACAAATAAATTAAAAATACTATTGACCCTAAAAAGGACCCCCCAAATCCCAACACTGCTAAACAACCTGCACATCTACTAATAATTAAACACACACCACCATAAATAGGTGAAGGCTTTAGTGATGTGCCAAGCAACCTATTGCAATCAATGAGCTTAAAATATAAATATATTCTGTCATAATTTCTACATAGATTATACCTATGAATAATGACATGAAAAATCATTGTTGTAATTCAACTATAGAAACACTAATGACAAACATTTGCAAGAAATACCCACTAATAAAAATTATTAACCACTCATTCATTGATTTACCAGCCCCATCTAATATTTCATCTTGATGAAACTTCAAATCTCTAATTGGAGTGTGCCTGGTAACCCAAATCCTAAAAGGCCTTTTTCTAGCCATACATTAAACGTCAGACACCATCATAGCATTTTCATCAGTCACACATATCTGCCAAGACATAAGTTATGGCTGGTTAATCTGTTATTTTTATGATAACGGAGCCTCAATATTCTTTATTTGCTTATTTCTTCATGTAGGACGAGTGCTGCTTAATGGTTTCCTTTCTCAGCTGCCTTTCTTTTTCTTTATTAATTTATTTATTCTTTTCTCACATGTTACATCCCGATTGCAGTTTCCCTCCCTCCTATTTTTCTAGTCCCTCTCCCCACCTTTCCTCTCCCTAGATCCACTCCTCCTCTGTTTCCCTTCAGAAAAGACCAGGCCTCCCAGGGATACCAACCAAATACGGCATAATAAGCTATAAGACTAGGTACAGATCCTCATTCAAGGCTAGATGAGAAAACCCAGTAGGAGGAAAAGGGTCCCCAAAGCAGGCAAAAGTGTCAGAGACAAGCCAGGCAGTGGTGATGCTTGCCTTTAATCCCAGCACTCGGGAGGCAGGCAGATCTTTGTGAGTTTGAGGCCAGTCTGGTCTACAGAGCAAGCTCCAGGACAGCCAAGACAGTTATATAGAGAAACTTTGTCTCTGAAAACAAGCAAATAAAAAAGTCAGGGACAGTCCCTGCTCTCACTGTTAGGAGTCCCACAAGAACACCAAACTATACATCCATAACATATATGCAGAGGACCTATCTCGGACCTATACAAGCTCCCTGGTTGTCCCTTTAGTCTCTGTGAGCCCCTATGAGCCCAGCTTAGTTTATTCTATGGGCCATGTTCTTATGGTGTCTTTGACTCTCTGGCTCCTACAATCCTTCCTCCCCATCTTTGACAGAATTCCCTGAGCTCTGCCTAATATTTGGCTGTGGGTCTCTGCATTTCAGCTACCTTTCTTACATAGCCCAGGTCCATCTGTCTAGGGAGAGTGCTGCCTACAGTAGGCTATACCCTCCTACATCAATTAGCAATGAAGAAAATGCTTCATAGACATGGTCACAGGCCAATCTGATCTGAACAATTCTTCCACTGGGGGTTTCCTACTTCCAGGTGACTCTAAGCTTGTGTCAAATTCACTGACAGCTGAAACTAACTATGACACCAAGCAATGCTGTCCTGCTGAGCTTCATCCCCTGAACTTCCTTGTTTTGAACCTCAGGTCCATATTTCTCTCTGCCCAGGATCTCTGTCCAAGAGATGGATACTCCCAGGGAGCTGCTTGAGACGCCGAGAGGCAGTCCCATGGCCTCTACAGATGTGCCAGCAGTTACCCAACCTGATGAGCAGGAGCCACATCCCAAAGGCCCTGGAACTGAGTTGGAAGACCAGATCCCTAAAGGAGCCAGAGCATTTCCACCCCTGCCAAAGAGGAGTAGCAACAATGGAGGAATGAATGCAGAGGAGGAGGTGGAGTCTAGAGCTGAGCCTCTCGCTGGACCAAGCTTGACCACAAGGGACTGGGGAGATGAGGCTGTTGGGACCACAGACCTGCAGCAAGACACAGACTCAGGAGTGGGAAAGCCTGAGCCCACGAAGGACCATGCAGCCAAGAGTTCAGGGGGAATGGAAGCTGGAGGGAGGATGCAGCCTGCTGCAGAGGCTGCTGTCATGGTTCTAGGTAAGTGGGGCCATAGCTCAGCTCAACACCTTCCATTGATTATGAGGTTCTGAGGAAGCCTCTGGCTGGTTAAGTCCAAGATACAGAAATGTGAAGGGTGGGACTGGGTTCTTGAATTAGTTTTGATGGTTGGGAAGCTTGAACCTCCATGACCCAACTACATAGGTTACTCGAAGCCACTTCCCTGCCTGAAAGTTCCACCACTGGTATCATTTTAAATGAAGGCAGGCAAGAATGAAAAAAGCACAAGAGCTAGGGATATAGCTCAGCTCCTGGAGTGTTTGCCTAGTATGCATAAAGCTGACGCCCCTGGGTTTGATCCTCAACATTGCATAAAACCAAGTGTGGTGTTGCATGTCTCTAATCCAAGCTTGTGGGTGATGGAGGCAAGAGGATAAGTTCAAGGTCATCCTAGATTATATATGATGCTCTCCTCTTGGAGAGGAGGTGGAGAAGAGAAGATAAATAAAGAAAAGACACTGGCTGATAGGTGTAAGACACAGTGATCCATTCCCACAGCCATTTGAAATAGGGTGAAAGTGGTGAAATTTTGACCTACTTATCGTTGCAGAGGGGTATTAGGTGTCTCTGTGTTCTTCTTCTACAAAGAACTTCAGCTCCAACAGTTTGGGAGTCTCCACCTGGTGGGAGAATTGTCTGTGGAGCACTGTCTGCACCCAGGGAGCACACAGGATGCTCCCAGGGCAAGCGTGAACAGATGATGACCCAGCGCCAGAATCTTCCAGCCAGCCGTTTGTGCTGCTTTGTAGCATTGTGACTGTTGCATCTTTCCTTTTTTTTTTATAATTTCATGTGACATTTCTTGGTATTCATAGTACCCAATTAAAATGAAAATTTAGGGTCAGTTCAGTAGGTAAAGGCATTTGCTGCCAAACCTCCGTTCACTTCCTGGGACCCATATGGTGAAAACTGAGCTAACTCCTGAAAATTATCCTCTGACCTCCACGTGTACATGTGTGCCATGGCATGTACACACACACACACACACACACACAGAGAGAGAGAGAGAGAGAGAGAGAGAGAGAGAGAGAGAGAGAGAGAGAGAGAGAGAGAGAGAGAGAGAGAGAGAGAGAGAGAGAGAAAGAGAGAGAGAGAGAAGAGAGAGTAATAAAATGAAAAAGAAAAAACCCAGTCCTGACCACACTGTCTTTCCAAGTGCTATCTGCGCTTTGCTGTCCCTCTAGATCCATTATCCCCCTCACCAGCCCATGCCCTAAGAGGTGCCTATCAGGGGCTCCACCACAGGCTCTCCTTCCCTCTGGGATCTAGTTGAGACCAGCGGAGGATGGTGTGTTTGTTTTTCTAGCTGCTTCCCGCTCACACTTGCCTTTGATCACAGCCACCTCAGGGGGAAAAAAAAAATCTGCTCAAGGACAGACACAGTGCAGTGGCTCAGCTGCTTTTCCTGCCAAATGTGTGGCTCCAATGTGACTCTAGAGAAACGGATGTCACATGCTGGGGCTTGCCACATGGTAACCCAAGTGACATTTAGTGGGTTTAGGAGAGGAAGCTACTTGTAGGAGAATCATGGGTTCTCTGTTTTCTCTCTACAGATGACAGTGCAGCACCTCCAGCCCCCTTTGAACACCGGGTAGTGAGTGTCAAGGACACCTCTATCTCAGCAGGCTACACAGTGTCTCAACATGAAGTCTTGGGAGGGTAAGTGCAGCATCCACCTGGGTGAGGGGCAGGCGCTGGAGCGCGGAGGCTGACCTGCACAGAGAATGAACAGGGGTCTCTCTGGGATGCAGGTGGCTGCACACATGAGGGAGGAGAGGTGGAGGAGGCCTTCAAAGTAGGGCATGGGAAACATTCCTGAGGTAACAGGAATGCCAGGCACGGGTGTGGGCTAATATGTAGTAGGCTAATATGATGTGGAGTGGGGAGTGGGTATTTCCATATCCAGAATAGCCCATGGTAAGGTCAGGAGGTTTCCCTTTAGGCTGGAGAGTAGATCACATGCTTGTGGGTGGTGAAGAAATGATTTTCTAGATGCTGGGTTAGCCCAGGAGTGAGTGATGACTAAGACAATAGCCTGTGGTGTAGGAAAGTTCACATGGCGTGTGTGAGGAGAGGAATGGTGGCCCTCCCGAGATTGGTGAGCTTTTCATATTCTTGGCTTACTGTGTCCCTGCATCTCTGTAGGGGCCGGTTTGGCCAGGTGCACAGGTGTATGGAGAGATCCACAGGCCTCGCACTGGCAGCCAAGATCATCAAAGTGAAGAACCTCAAAGACCGGGTAAGACATCTGCCCCAAGCCAGCCTGGTCCTCCCAGCCAAGCCCAGAATCTTTCACCTCTTTTCTAGCCCCCTCCGTGCCAAGCAGGAAGCTTGATGTGTTCCCTGCCTCTTGGCTCTCACACACCACTCACTAAGTCACCCACATTCCTTAGTCCAGACCTCGCTTACGTGGACGGCCTGGCATGGCTCTGCCAACATGCTGGCAGGACCTTGGGCACAAGGACTTTTCCATCCTGGGCCTCCTGTGTTTGAGATGACTGGGTGGGTTGAACCAAGGTCCTTTCTGTAATAAGACAGAGTGTGGGTGATGAGTCAAGGAGATCTGCTGTGTTGGAAGCAGGAGTTGAGGAGTTGGAAGAAGCATAAGGTTTGTGTGCATGTGAGTGTGAGTGTAGAGTGTGTGTGTGTATGAATGTGTGTGAATCGAGCATGTCTGTGTGTGAATCTGAGTATGTGCCTGTGTGTGGGCCTGCACACATCTTGGGAGATGCAAGCGTCTTCTCTTTCTGATCTGTTTTCTTGGAAAATCATTTTTCCTCTGGTCTCACAAGGAGGATGTGAAGAATGAGATTAGCATCATGAACCAACTTAGCCATGTCAACTTGATCCAACTGTATGACGCTTTTGAGAGCAAGAACAGCTTCACCCTGATCATGGAGTAGTGAGTATCTCAGAGGTGGGGAGGTGGCTTCTCTGCTCTCACTGAGTGCCCAGAGTCACGCCACCCTACCTGGTTTACTGCTTTGAACCTGAGCATGGAATTTGGAGGACATAGTCATTTGGTAACAATCCAGTGGCCAGTATGACCTGACCTGCAGACGTTATGCCAGTTTGTCCTAAACAACTTTTAGTGATTGAGTGAGAGATTTAACAGTTGGAAATGGGACGATGTAGACAGAAATTGGAAAATCTATCTGGATTCCATGAAAATATAAAGAATCTAGTTACATTGGGTACACACCTATGTCTGCACAGGTGTATTGCAGCACTCTCCCTGTGGGTATACGACAGCTCACTCTGGGTAGGGTTATAATACAGTTCACCTGTGCAAAAGTGTACTACAGCTCACTCTGTGTACAGTGTACTACAGCTCACTCTGTGTACAGTGTACTACAGCTCACTTTGTGAAGTTGTACCATAGCTCACACTGTGTAGGGGTGTCCTACAGCTCACTCTGTGTGGAGGTGTACTGTATAGTTCACTCTGGGTACAGGTGTACTGCAGTTCACTCTGTATGTGAGTATGCTACGGCTCACTCAGGGTGTGTGTGTATTTGTGTGTTTGTGTGTGTGTGTGTGTGTGTGTGTGTGTGTGTGTATACTACAGTTCACCTGTGTAGTAGAGTAGTACTACAACTCACTCTGTGTAGAGGTGTTTTATGGCTCACTCTGTAGAGGTGTACTGCAGTTCACTCTGTGTATGGGTATATTACAGCTACTGGTATATTGTACCTCACTCTGTGGAGCTGAGTCTTCTCTCTGACCCAGAAACTGACTCATGACACTGACGCCATAGACTTGGGGCCATTTATCTTTGTGCTTGTGTTGCTTTTTACCTTCTGACAGGGATAATAAGAGTAAAGCATTTGTTATAGCATACATGAATTAAAAGTGGGAAAATGGTGGTCTCAGTGGTAGCTTGCTGGTGGGCGTGTCTGAGACCTGGGTTCAATCACTAGTACTGGCCAAGGAGCACTACTACTTTTGACTCATAAGTAGTCTAATTTGCCTATTTATGCTTCGTTTTAATTTTCCCATTAATTAACTCATTAATTAGTTAATTTGTTTTTTGGGACAGGGATTCATGTAGCAGATGTCTGAAACTTTGTGCAGCTGTGAATGGTCCTGAACTCTTGACCCTCTGTTCTCCACCTCCCAAGTGCTAGGATAGTAGCTGCGGGTCACCATGCCCAGCTCACTTAGGCTTCTTGCCATGTGGGTACTGTTTGGCACTCCCAAGCAGCTGAGTTCACAACCCTAATTTAGATGATACGAGTTCCAGGAAACCTTCTGTGGGGAATATGCCAAAACAAAGCAATCAACAGAACCCATATAGCAGTGTCAGGGGCCCTTTGTAGTCAGCCTTGGGGACCTGTGGGTTGTTGCTAACTTTAGGCACACTTAGACTGACTGCTTCCAGACTCTGTGAGAGCTGCACTCAGTTTGACACCTGTTTCTTACCTTTCCCTGGCAGTGTGGATGGAGGCGAGCTCTTTGACCGGATCACGGATGAGAAGTACCACCTCACTGAGCTCGATGTGGTCTTGTTCACGAAGCAGATCTGCGAGGGTGTGCATTACCTGCATCAGCACTACATCCTGCACCTGGACCTCAAGGTCAGTGGTGTGCCGGGCCCCAGCAGCACCTTCTGAGAATCCTGTGCCCAGCTTACCGGGGTCTCTGTGGCTTCCCCTCCTGGCTCGGCCATTTTCCAGTTCTATTGCCTATTGCCTCTCTATTCCTCTTTGTGACTTGTAGATAATTGTGCCTCTTTAAGTTTTGAGTATGAAATAATACAGTAGCCCTTTTCTTTAGAACTGTCTTAAAACTAATTTTTCAGTCTGGAGAGATGACTTAGCAGTTAAAAGCACTTGCTGCTCTTCCCAAGGACCTGAGTTCAGTTCTCAACATCCACACTCCATACTGGGTAGCTCACAACTGTCTGTAACTCCAGCTCAAGGAGTTTGATGCCCTCTTCTGGCCTCCACAGGCACCTACATACACATGGCACACACTCATACAGATACAGCTACATAGAAATGAAAACAAACCTATCAAATTGCTTTTTTAAAAACCTCAAGGGGTGGGCCTGTGAGAGGGCTTGGTGGAAATGCTGCCAAGCTTGATGACCTGAGTTTGACCCCTGAGTCCCACATTGTAAAAGGAGAGAACTGACTCCATCCAGGGGTCCTCTAACTTCATACATGTACCACAGCACATGGGTGCACACACACCCCTGCCTCACCTCCACACATCAAACAGACATTTACACCAATGTAATTAAAAAAATAAAGTTCAAGGGGAGGGTCCCAGAAGAAGTGGGGGGAAGTGAATATGATAAAAATGTATTGTATAAATGTATAAAATTGTGAGAGAATAAATAAGAATCCTTGGAGTGGCTGGAGACATGTAATTAATAGCACTTGTCACACAATAATGTAGATTGGAATTCAGGCCCCAGCATCCACACAACAAGCTGACTGTCCCACGCCACACACCCCAGTGTAGCACGCCTATAACCCCAGCACTAAGGCGAGTGGAAACAGGAGGATTTCTGGGGTTACTAGCTCCCAGCATAACTGGGGAAACAGGAGTCCTGGTTTCAAGGAGAGACCCTGCCTTAAGAGAAAATGGGTAGAGTGACAGAGAAGGATATCCAATGCCCTCTTCCAGTTCAGTGCGTGTGCCCACGAGCATGCATATGCTCACACACAAATACATAAAAGTGTTTTTTTTAATTCAAGGGACTGTGGGGATGGCTCAGTGGGTAAAGTGCTTGCTGTGAAAATATGAAGACTTGAGTTCAGAATTCCAGTAGCCATGTAAAAAGTATTGTGTGTTGTCTTGCATCTGTAATCCCTCTAGAGACAGACAATTCTGGAGCCAGACAGTTTAGCCAATAGTTGAGCTCCAGGTTCAGTGAAAGACCTTGTCTCAAAAATAAGGTAAAGAGGACACTCAGTGTTGACCTCCGGCCGATACATATACAATCATGTACACCTACACACAGACATGCACATATATGCATATACCACACACACACACACACACACACACACACACACACAAAGTTTAAAAAGGGATATATGCTTGTGGTAACAAGTACGGGCAATGTAAAAGTGTGCAAAATAAGTTTTTCCCAACAAGTCTTCCTGAACGGAGGCCTTCTTACAAGTGACTGAGCATCACACAGGAATGCCTACAAAGGGGTCATAGGATGCAACCTGATTTACAGTGTGTGTGTGTGTATTTTTTTTTTTGTGTGTGTGTATGTGTGTGTGCTCGAGCACAGGTGTGCATATCCCACAATACACATGTGCCACAATTCATTGTATAGAAGTCAGAGAGCAACTTTCAGGAGTTGGTTCTGTCCTCCACCATGTAGTTTCCAGGGTTAAAGCCAGTCATCAGGCTGGGCAGCATGCACCTTAACTGGCTGAGCCATTTTAGTAGGCTTGCTTCTTATTTCTAAGCTCGATTCTTTTAGTAAACAGCAATTGTAGACTTCTTTTTGTTTTCATGGTTTTAAAGAGCCATCCGATATTTCATTGAACACACAAACACATTACATTTTTCTCTGTCTCCTAAGAGAGTCCCTGTCTGTCATGTATGTTCAATCCCATGCATATTTTCTGGCCAACAGTAAGCACATTTGGTCCTTTCTGACATTTGCTATGCTATTCCCACAAGAGGGTGCCTCTCAATCACCCATTTCAGGAAAGGCATGCATTTCAGTGACTCCCTTTCAGTAGGATGGCTGTACCTGTAGGGGTGCATGTCACTCCTTCCGCCCATCTTTCTTGGTTGGCATCAGACTGTAAGGCAAGTACTTAGGAAGATGTTGAGCAGGAAGAGGAACTGGCCTCAGCTGTCACTGGAGCTAATTTCAAGGCTTTTGACCAACTCCTCTGCAGGATGAGCAATTAGGGGAAGCTTGGAATTCCGATTTGCACTTCTGGGGTGAGGACTGGCCTTTGGGAGAGAGTCCTCAAAGCTTGGAACTCTGATCTGAAGTCTGAGGCCCATTTCCCAGCAGGACTTGTCTGGTTGTGAAACCTAGAGTTTATCAGTCACAAAGTGTGGTATTCCTCTCTCCCAGAAATGCTGTGCAAATACTGGACTCCAGACTTCATGTGAAAAAAGCAAAATAGCATATTTATTTTCCCAATTTTTAGAAACAATCTTAGTTTACATATCAATCTCAGTTCCCTCTCCCTTCCATCCTCCCATGCCCTCCTACCAATTCCCTATCCCATCCCCCTTCTGCTCCCCAGGGAGGGTGAGGCTTTCCATGAGGGAGCATCAAAGTCTGTCACATCATTTGGAGCAGGCCTAGACTCTCCGCCATGTGTCTAGGCTGAGAGAGTATCCCCCTATGTGTAGTAGGCTCCCTAGTACATTCGTGTACTAGGGATAAATACTGTTACACTACCAGAGGCCCCATAGATTACCCAGGTCTCCTCACTGACACCCACATTCAGGGGGTCTGGTTCAGTCTTATGCCGGTTTCCCAGCTGTCAGTCTGGGGTCCATGAGCTCCTCCTTGTTCAGGTCAGCTGTTTCTATGGGTTTCTCCAGCCTGGTCTTGACCCCTTTGCTCATCACTCCTGCATTTCTACAATTGGATTCCAGTAATTTGGCTCAGTACTTAGCTGTGGGTGTCTACTTCTGCTTCCATCAGCTACTGGATGAAGGCTCTAGGATATAAGGTAGTCATCAATCTCATTATAGGGGAAGGGCATTTAAGCTAGTCTCTCCACTATTGGTTAGATTCTTAGTTGGGGTCATCTTTGTAGATCCCTGGACATTTCCTTAGAGCCAGATTTCTCTTTAAACCTATAATGGCTCCCACTTACTCTCCTCTATTCTTCCCCTGACTCAATCTTCCTACTCCCTCATGTCCTCCTTCATCCTCTTCTTCTCCTCTTCTCTATCTCCTAACTCCCTCTCCCCTCCCCCCATGCACCCAATTTGCTCAGGAGATCTTGTCCCTTTCCCCTACTCCAAGGGACCCTTGTTTGTCTTAGGGTCCTCCTTGTTTCCTAGCTTCTCGGGAGGTGTTCTGTAGGCTGTAGGCTAATTGTAGGCTTGTAATCCTTTGCTCTATGTCTAATATCCATATATGAGTGAGTATATACTATGTCTGTCTTTTTGTGGACCCTCACTCAGGATGGTTTCTTCTAATTCCATCCATTTGCCTGCAAATTTCAAGATTTCATTTTTTTTCCACCGAGTAATACTCCATTGTATAAATGTACCACATTTTCTTTATCCATTCTTCAGCTGAGGGGCATCTAGGTTGCTTCCAGGTTCTGGCTGTTACAAATAGTGCTGCTATGAACATAGTTGGACAGATGTCCTTGTTGTATGTATGTATAACCAAGGCTTCTGCTGAAAGAATTAACACCTGAGATTTGCTAGAGAAGTTTCACAGTATATCTTACATATTATGCCATTTGGTTCTTAAACCCTCCCAAGAAGACAAGGAGACAGTCTTTGTTTTAATTTTAAAGATGTGGCCACTGAGGTTGAAGAATTGGAAGGAACTGGGCAATCGGATCTTGGGACTAGGTGTTAGATGCTAGATATCTAGGTCCTTTCTATTATAAGTTCTCCATCTTCACTCAGCATCTCCTTCCCCACAACTTGTCATCCCAATGCAGCAAACACTGTTAGACCCTTACAGGATCTCAGAGCTGATCTGAAAGACCTAAAAAGAAAAATATGTCAAGTCCACTATTTTAGCCCCATGAGTCACAGTCATCATTGCAAACTTGCAGATACTACCCCTCCCTGCTGGGAATGGTACCTTTGCATGCTAGGTAAGTGCTCTACTACTTATCTACATCCCAGCCCCTCTCTCCTTTTTCCTGAGATGAGGGTCTCACTATGTAGTTCAGGATTGCCTCAAGTTGGCAACACTCCATGTTTTAACATTCTCAGTGCCAGGACTGAGGCATGTGCATCACATCTGGCTAGCCCTGTGCTCTGTGACCAAGCCAAAATTGCTTTGGTCTCATTCCTGAAATGAAGGACCTCTGAGCTCTGGAAATTCAAAAGCTTCCCTAATGAGGATCTGGGAATGTGACTCAGTTGGCACCATGCTTGCCTAGCATGCACAAGGCCCTGGGTTTGAACTTGGGCATCACATGGAACTGGGTGTGATGGCATACATCTAAAATCCTAGCATTCAGATGCAAAGGCAGGAGGATCAGACATAAAGACCATTCTTGACTAAATAGTAAATTGGAGGCCAGTGTGAGATACATGAGGAACTTGTCTTTAAAAATATAAAAAATAAATAAAACAAACATAGGCTTTTTGGTTCTAATGTGAGCCCATGTTGAGAAGCATTACCTAAACCAGTTGTCTCACACAAGCAGCTTGTGGGACAAATCTCTACTCCAGCTTTGGTTCTCACATTACACCTGTTTGTTTCCACTTTATTTCAATGTCAACATTTTAAAACTTGGAATCTTCACACCCAAAATCTTGGTCTTTAACTTCTCTTCTGCTGTGACTGGCTTTCTTCCTGGTGAGTAGTGGATGGTGAGTAGTCCATTTCCATAGGACAAAAGTCCTACTTCCTCACAGTCCATACCAACACTTTTGAAAAAAGATTTTTTAAATTCTTTGTGTGTGTGTGTGTGTGTGTGTGTGTGTGTGTGTGTGTGTGTACATGTGTGTGTCTGCGTAAGAATGTGCATGTGAGTGCAGCTTTCCATCGAGACAAAAAAGATGGTGTCAGATGTACTAGATGGTGTCTAGATGTACTAGAGCTGGTGTTACAGGTGGTTGTGAGCTGCCCAACATGGGTTCTGGGAACTGAACAGGTTCTCTGTAAGAACAGCACATGCTTTTAACCACTGAGCCATCTCTAGGCCAACAACTGTTTCGTTGGTGCAGCTCATTTATTGTTATTATCTGTCTAGCCCCAGGTGACTAAGCCATTTACTTCCCTTGGATTCTGGGGAAATGAGACTTATGGACAAATAAGTGTGAGAGCTGTAGACTTCCTCAGCCAGGGTAATAAGAATGAAATGTCTTTCCCCTCCAGCCAGAGAACATACTGTGCGTCAACCAGACAGGACATCAAATTAAGATCATTGACTTTGGGCTGGCTAGAAGGTAAGGCTCCTGTATTCTGACAAAATTCCTTCCTCAGGGGCACCAAAGCTCTCTTGAATGAAGTTACCTGTTTGAGATCTAGCCATTTTTGAGTTTTGGAGATGGATGCAAGAAAGTTGTCATTCAGAGACTGGTGGCCTTTGGCTTGCTATTAATGCAGTGGGGTTGTAGTGCCAGCCCCGTCTGTCTTCAAAGATTTCAGGATTAACTGTACTTGGAACCACCTGTTTGAGAAGAAGAATATAGCTACAGGGGACTGCTAAACATGGTTCAAGACCATCAGTTCTTCATTTGGCTAGGGGCCAAGCTAGGCAACACGTCTACCTTGCACTCTGGGAATTCTTTAGCTCACATATGAAAACACAAATGTGACAGAATAGGATGGTGCCACAATAAGTGGACCTGGAGCCACTGAGGACCAGATTAGAATTTAGTACTGTAGTGACATAATGACATTCCTGCTCATATGGAGAGAATCATGAGGGCTAAATGGGATCTTATATGCTACTGCAAACTCCATTAGGTCCTCATTTCAGTACATTAACTGGATATTTATACAATTTTAAATTTTTGTTACATTAATTATATGGGAACAGGAAGGCACAGCACATGTGTGGAGGTCAGAGACTGCCAGCTGGCCTTTCAGACCTTTTCCCATACTCACATTGTCCTTCACTCAATGGAGTACAATGCCACAGAAGCCCTGTGTGTTTGTGTTTGTCTCGTGGCCCCTGGCAAAGCCATAATAGCTAAATATTTTTTGATCCTCCAAAGTCCCTTGTTTTGGATCCTTGTGGCTTAATATTGCACTTATTGGAATATGCATTTGCAGGACACACTGGAATGCCAGTTGTCATATGGCATACTGAGTTCAGAGCAGGAAGCCACCACTAGAAGCTCGTGGCATGAAGGAGGCTGCTCTCAGGGACAGGATGTGTCATGTGCCGGGAGTGACATGCAGGCCAATGTTCAATTACCAGCTCAGAAGAGGAGGGAGTGGGGACACAGGGTTGTTTTGTAACGTTTTCCAGTTTTTACAAACTGGTGCAAACCATTAGCTTTGGTGCTTTCCTGAGAGCCAGAACCAGTGTGAACAGGAGCCAGCCACAGAGGGAAGTCAGGGGAGATGGCAATTGTCACAGCCTGAGAACAGATGTGTAAGCATAAGGAGGCTAATCTGAGGAGAACACATTAAAGCGTAAGAGCACTAAGGAAGAATCCTGAACATTAGGCTCAAAAGCTTGAATGCTATTTGGTAGGTCACTGAATCTTAATAGTGAAGTTATGGTCCCTTGACACTAGCCTGGGAAGATAAGGATTTATAGCACCCAAATAGGCAATACTGCACATAAAGTCTTAAAAAGTCTGGACAGCTAATTTTGAACATGTACCTACAGACCACTGTTTGAGGTCATTGAGCTGGGTCAGTTTAGTTATTTTACCATCTATCTATCTATCTATCTATCTATCTATCTATCTATCTATCTGTGTTTTGCCTGTATGTATGTCTGTGCACAAGTGTACAGTGGCTACAGAGGCCAGAAGAAGGCATTGGATTCCCTGAAACTGGAGTTACAAATGGTTGTGAGCCACCATATGGGTTCTGGCAGTCAGTCTCTTAACCACCAGCCATCTCCAGCCCCTCAGTGAGGTCAGATGTGCACTTTGTTTCTCATTCTCGTCTTGTGGTGGTAACACAGGAGCAGTTATGGCCTAGTTTGGTATTGACCCAGCGTAATTTTTTACTTAAATTGCATTGATTAAAACAACTCTTGTGATCAACCCCAGCATCTGTGGAATGGAGCAAGGTATTTCCTCTTCTAGTGGAAGGAATATGACATCTGGGGACACAGTGGGTGGAAATGGGATTCAGGAAAGTGTCCCAACTATCTCCCGGAGCCCCACTTTTAGTTCTTTTGAATACATGCTCAAAAATCACATAATTCTATTTTTAATTTTTTGTGGCCATCTCTCTGGATTTTGTTTTGTTGAGAAAGAGTCTGTCATCCAAGCTTTCTTAAGCTCATTGTGTAATGCATCCTGGTCTCCAGCTGGCCCCAGCCCTTCAGTGCTTGCCTCCTGGGTATAAGACACCACACCCTGCTCACTTTTCTGTTTTCAATAGTGTCTGCTCCACGTCACATTCCTCACTTACAGTCCATAAACGTTCTGAATTCTCTACATTCTAGTCCACACTTGCTGTGTATAGTCTCTCTCCCACCCCCATATACATGTGTGTGTTAGTACTGTAGACATCTATCTAGGTGCATAGGGAACCACATTGTGCTTTGAATTTGTATTTCTCTAATGATTGTTGCTGATGACCTTTGTTTCTTTTTCTTACTACCATCCTTCCAGTACACTGTGTATACCAACTAAGCAGTCACTGCCCATTCATGCGGTCGCATGCCAAGTAAGATACGTTGGTCTCCTCATCTTCAGATTGTAAGTGGCTAGGAGGAGTGTAGTTTTCTGGTCTATCACTAGCTTTAAAAGGCTGGAAGGCATGTCTGAGGGTGCAGGGGAACTTTGCGTACAGTGTGAGTGTCAGGTCCAGGCAACGTCTGTTTCCACACAGTCTCTCCCATGGTGCACTTCACTCTCTCCCTTTTTCTCAGATACAAACCTCGGGAGAAGCTAAAGGTGAACTTTGGTACTCCGGAGTTCCTGGCCCCAGAAGTTGTTAACTATGAGTTTGTCTCATTCCCAACAGACATGTGGAGTGTGGGAGTTATCACGTACATGCTGTGAGTACTGAGGGGCCTCGTTCTGGGCGGGGCTTGGGCTATCCATCTTGCTGGTACTTTTAGCAGCAGGAGAACACAATGTGGGAAGAGTTCTCAGGAACATTTGTAAAGGTGTTGAGATTGAAGAAAGGCGGTCCAGACTAAATTGGGTCATCCCCATGACCCAATGGGATGAAGAGTGAGAGACGACGAGAAGAAGGGGTGGAGGACAAGGGGACCAAGAGGTTAAGAGAGGCACCAGCAGCCAAGAGAGTGCTTAGCCAAAGGCTGAGTTTATGTAGGAAAGAGGCTGGGGAAAGGGAAACCCCACCCCTGGGAGGGAGAGGGTTAGTGTAGGGGTTGGGGTGAGAAGTGGGAGGAGCCACAGATACTGAGTGATGCTGGGAGAGCTGGGAGGAGCCATGGGTACTGAGGGATGCTGGGAGAGCTGGCCAGAGTCCACTCTGATATGTTAAACAGGCACCTCATTTAACCTTCGTTCTTTGAGACCTAACATTTCAGTCTTTTGTTGATTCTGGGATGAAATTGGGTCATCATGGGCCCAGGAGGGCTGGAATGATGGCCAAAGAACAGGAAGGGAGAGAGGACTACAGTCTGGGGACACTTGCTTCACTCACCAGGTTCTGCAGGCCTCTCTGGAGCAATCAGGATGCAGGTTCTAAAGGAGCACCTAAGGCTGGTGCTTTATAGGCAGCGTGGGAGCAGTTTGCACTCTTTAGTGGATTGTACATCTCCTAGGACAGATACAGACTCGGGAAAGAAGGGAAAGCTAAGAAGCCTGGGGAAAAATATTTATCTTCACTGTACATTTGAAACTTCCAGGTCTATGGTCCTGGTAGTTGGGGCAGGAAAGTCCCAAGACCAGGAGAGAGAGACAGAAAGGGAGGGGGAGCGGGAGGAGGAGGGAGATGGAGAGAAAGGGGGAGAGGGAGAGAGAGAATCCCAGCCTGAGGAACAGGCAGGTGGGGAAACAGGCTGTTGATTGACAGTTTTACCCATGAGAGGTGGTTCCAAATTGAGTTTCTGAAGTTTACGTGAACTTTTTAAGTTTACAAAAATGAGATAAAAGTTTTATTAGCATCCCCACTGTCTCTAATCTGTACTAAAATCTATGTTGTAGAAAAAGCAGTAGACTTTGAGTCATAGTAGAAGCTTAAGGATCCAAAGAAATGATTCTGGGTTAAAAGAATTAATACTCTTTCCTCTGTCAGAGGGCTGGATACATATATTGGATGGAAATGCTTTTAGCACAGTGAGAAGTACTTTTAACTTCGTACTTAGAAGATAATCAAAGGGAATCTAGAATTTTGAACTTGTGATTATGATAATAGTAACAATGCTTGCCAGGGCTAGATTATTAGCTCAACAGAACTCCAGTGATTAATACTAAACTCTGAACTTTTGAAGTCTTAGTGTGATAAAGCACAGGGAAGTGAGTCTGAAACATTCTCTCTTTTTCCATACCTTAGACTTCTGCAGCTCTCATTCACTTTCTTAGACACACAGCTTACCCGGACTTTAAACCTTTTCTTTTTCCATCTAACAATTTACCATGACACACAATTGGTTGGTTACTGAGAGCAATCAGTCCTGTGGCGTCCTCTATGACCCACTGGCTTCTTTGGAGACCTTAGGGTTGTTTGTTTGTTTTTTGTTTCTTTTTCATTAAACACTTTAAATGCCATATTCAGTAGATCTCTGCAGAGTTTGAGGACCATTATCTCTTAAGTATACCTGATCTAAACAAACTTTACTTGTTTTTTGGTTACTTGCTTTAGGCTTAACCTCCAAAACATACACACATGCTAAATAAAGCTCATCACTAAATGAATTACATTTGTATTTAGCATGACTATGAGTCTAGTTCTGAGCACATGAAAGAATTTGATCATTTTTATAAGGTGACTGACCATTAACAGTTTACAAGTTAGTAGCTTTCAGAAGATTAGGGTTTTAGTTTTATCTGTGTTAAGTTTGAGCCTTAAAATTTTGAGTTGAAGATTCTTTAGCATCAAAATAAAACTTTGGACTATAAATAAAATTCATAAAGATACTGGGAACTTTAAATACATTCTACAGAGGGATTGGGGACCTTATTTTCTTGATCCTTTTAAATGCATGATTACAGAATACCACAGTTTCTTGTACGGCTCAGTTATTCCAAATAGCTAAAGTTTAACTACATTAACAAAGACAAGGAGGCTAGATGTATATCTTCAAGTCAGTTACTGTCAACACAAATAGACCTTAGGAATTTGTAAACCCTATTTATCAAACATGTTATTCCTTATTTAAATTTTCCAGAAGCCAGGTGTTGAATGAACACAGTTAGCAAAGACATATGTAGTTGTTACAATACAATACAATAAGTCAGTTTTTATTAACCCTACTAGACATTTTTTGTTTTTTTTGTTTGTTTGTTTGTTTGTTTTTCCGAGACAGGGTTTCTCTGTGTAGCCCTGGCTGTCCTGGAATTCACTCCACAGACCAGGCTGGCCTTGAACCCATAAAGATCTGCTTGCCTCTGCCTCCTGAGTGCTGAGATTAAAGACACCACTGCCTCAGCAACCTGAGTAGACCTTTATAACTATAGGAATTTATTATCATACAAAATTCCATTCTAATCCAAGATATTTTGGAGACCTCTTGTTGCCTCCTTTGTCTAAAAGGAGATACAATGATAACAGAGGGCCTAGTTAGACTAAGAAGTTTTATGATTGTCACTTTAGTTGGTTTATACGTGGTCATCTTACTCAAGATAGTGGTGAAGTTACATGGCACGTAGCCTTTAACCTTAGTAAAGATGACTGCAAGCCACATGGCTGCTTCCATCTTAATGAGGTCATCAGCCAAGATGGAGGCAAGCCTCTTGTTGCTATTTAAAAATATCTGTTTCCTAAACATGAGTTGAATTCAAGTTACATATACAGTAAACACATCTATTTTTCTAAATAAGGCTTGAATCACATATAGAAAATTGATATTAAACCTTTTGTTATGAGCTTTAAGCTAATTTTTTGTTACAGATTCTTTAAACATAACTAATGAATTTACAAATCCTGAGATGAAGAGTGTTTGCACCATAGCCTTAGAATATTTCTTGAGAGCAGAGTGCAGGGAAATTGTAGAGATAAAAGATTTTGAAGAGTGAAAAGTAGAAACTTTGGGATTTATGGAGTAGAGAGAGTTTATATATATACAAGATTTTGGGGTCCTTTGTATGGTGGCAGAAGCTTTTATGACTTGGGAGAATTTGAAAATCGAGTGTGCCAGTTTTGGGTCATTGATTGAGCTGTACTGAGGCCAAGCCATTTTCTATAAGACAGTGAGGGTTTAATAAAACCTCTGAGTGCAAGACAAAGGAAAAAGAATTGGAAAATGAACTCCATTGAGAGAGGGTTCCAGTAAGCTCCAAGAGGGAGTTGAGAGATGGAGAACAGTGTAGCCATGAGGGACAAGGTTCACAAATAGGAACTCTGCCTGAGGGAGGACTCATGGAGGCCATGAGGGGGTAGAGAAGCTGCAGGACTACAGCTCCTAGGGGGAGGCAAGGGTACTTCAGGAAAGAGCAGAGAGCAAAGGGGACAGAGGTGGTTAGGTGCTGAGGTGACAAGAATTTCCAACCAGGGCATCCTCAAGCTAACTGAGAGACTTGTCAGAGAGAAATGCCCCAAACACAGAGCAAAGAAATTAAGAAATTATAGAAATTAAGTAGATAGAGAGGAGCTTCCTAAAACAACGGTGTGGCTTTTGTAGTAAAAGTAGACAAAGCCGGCTGCTCCAGGCTGACACCCAGTAGAAGAGGAGAGAAGAGTGATTAGAGCCAGTAGAGGAGGAAACAGCTGGAGAGGTGGACTGGAAGAGGCTTTTGAGAAATGGGAAGGTTCCAATAGAAAGAGACCTGCAAAGTGTTGCTGGTGGGGTCCCAGAAGGTGTAGGAAGCTTTTAAGTAGAAAGATGCCCATGTGGTGGGTGCTCCAGAGGACTCAGGAGGCTCCAGGAGCCAGAGAGAGAACACTTAATAAGTAGGTGAGCAAAGGCAATGGTTAGAGCAGGTGGACAGAAGAAGCTAAGAGGCAGACTCCAGAATTTGGAGTCAAATGTGGTAGGTGGCAGAAACCAGCAGAAACAAATGATCAATGTGAAAGACCCGCGAAGAGGTACTTTCGTAGAAGGAGACCCGCACCCAGGAATCAGCGAAACCACGAACTTGGATGCAAAACTGCAAGAGGCTTTATTAGTGGCTTGGGTACCCGGGGACTTAACTTCTCTTAGGCCAAGCCCCTGAGCCAAGGGAGAGAGGTCCTTATATAGCAAAAAGCAGAGTGCAGAAGCGAAAAGCATAGTTACAGGGATCCTATTGGACAATTTAATGAGGTACAGAGCATTTTCTCAAGGTTTGATAATTAGGCGAAGGGCCTTTATCTTCTGCCGCGTCCAGATGGCTGACCTTGGGTGTCCAGATGGCTGACCTTGGGACGGAGCGATCCGGCGGGGGCGGCCTTGCGCGGCGGCGGGGAAGTGGGAGCCGGCAGCTGTGGGGATCAAGGGTCGGGAAGTGCAGGGGAGGATGCATTCCCGAGCGCTCCGCCAGCTGCCGACCGGAGGAGGAGGCAAACTTAAAAGAAAAAGCTAAGGGCGGGGGTCTTTCAAATGCATATCTCAGGGTAGTCAGATCAACAGCTTGGTTTGGAGAGGCTGAGTCCCTTGGAAGGGAGCTCACTATGCCAATCCTGTGGTTTCAGCACCAGATGGATGAAAATGAGGACATGACCACTCCTAGGTATGGTTGAGGAAAAGGGTCTTATTGTAAATATGAGAGAGAGAGAGAACAACCAGAGGCTGGGAAGAGCCCAGACTGAACTGGACCATGGGGAGGGGGGCGGCAAGAGAGGAAGAGGACCAAGGGAGGAGCTGCACACCCAGAGGTCAAGAGCAAGTCAAGAGACCAACAGAGTATATGGAAACCAAGAAAAGCAAGAACGGAGCCAAGAGCCAAGAGAGCTTGTAGTCAAAATGGCTGAGATATATAGAGAAGAGAAGCTGGGAGAAATGAAGCTAACTAAGCCCCTAGGAGGAAGAGGTTTAGGGTAGGGGCAGGGTGAGAAGTGCTGGGAGGAGCCGCAGGTACTGAGTGAGACTTCTTCAGGGTTTCTTTGAGATCTGACATTAACAACAAAAAATTACTCAAGGTATCAATAGCACAGAAGTAAGGTACAGTTGTGCAAGGCTGGAAAACTCTGGAATCCACTGTGGGACACCTCTCAGAGCTATTTTATCAGAGGGGTGAAAGAGTTGGACATTCACAACTACAGATAGTTCTTATTTGTGGGTTGTTCTTAAGTGTGGGGCCTGAGTTAATTCCCTCATATTTCTGGTGGTAAAAAGATGCTTCAAATGCAGGTTCTGGGTACAGGTCAGGGAAGGGGTGCATTACAGTGTTGTTTAGCTATGTCACTTTCAACATAGAGTGGCCTCTTTTCTTTCTCTGACTAGATTTCCTGAGTTTTTCCTTAAGTCTTATCTGGTTTCATTCTTGTTGCTGTGATAAAACACAGATGGAAGCAATTTAGGAGAGGACAGAGTTTCAGATTACTGACAACACTGAGGGAAGTCAGAGCAAGAGCTCAAGGCAGAAACTTGAAGCAGAGACCAGAGAGGAATGCAGCTTGTAGTTCATTCAGTTTATAGCCCGAGGGATGGAACCGCCCACAGTGGGGAGGGCTGTCCTACATCAATTGAACAATCAAGACAGTCCTTACAGGCCAATCTGATCTGGGGGGGGGGGATCATTCAAGTGGAACTCCCTTCTCAGGAGACTCTGGGCTGTGTCAAGCTGACAGGTAAAGCTAACTAAGACAGGGACCAATATCGTGTTTGGCTTCTTATCTTATTCTTACTGTATTGTACCATATGTTCCTATAATTTGTGTCTGCTGGACCAGGCTGGGGAATCTTAAGGCCTTAGAATCAGTCAATTAGATTATCTTGTCTCTGCCTTAGCCTGAGCATAGTAGAGCAAATATTTCACTGGCTTAAAGGACAATAGTATCTATTATAGCCTGGCTGTCCCAGAGAAATAGAGTTATTTTTAAATAAATACACACACTGGGCATGATGGTGCACAGTTTTAATCCCAATACTCAGGAGGCAGAGATAGTGGATTTATGAGTTCAAGGACAGCTTGGTCTACAGAGTGAGCTACAGGACAGCCAGAGTTAACTAGAGAGACACTGTCTCAAAAAACAAAAACAAATAAATACACACTTGGTAAGTGGACACATTGGGTTAGACTCCAGTTTACAGTTACTCTAGAGACAAGGAAAGGGTTGCATGTGATAGATTGTCCAGAATGTCCCTTCTCCCATCCACCTCCTTCAAGTAAACATGTGGGACCATACACAATGGAGATGTAATGGAAGTAGAGCTTGTGATACACTGAGCTTGTGACACACTCATGGTCCTTTCTCTCCTCTGTAGACTCAGTGGTTTGTCCCCATTTCTAGGGGAAACAGATGCAGAGACCATGAATTTTATTGTGAACTGTAGCTGGGATTTTGATGCTGATACCTTCAAAGGGCTGTCAGAGGAAGCCAAGGACTTTGTTTCCCGGTTGCTGATCAAAGAGAAGAGGTATTTGTAGTGGCTGGTCACTCAGTGGCCTTTATAATGAACCCTGATCTGTGTACTGAGCTGGAATGCTGAATCCTTTCTTCCTGGGGGATTTCTTAGTCAGCTGCTTGTGTGGATTGTTAAAAGGGGCAGCAGCAGCAACAACAACACAAAGGGAATCACTCTAATAACAACCAGGCAAGAAAGAGTCTTAGAGAGAGTGAGTCCTACTCCCAAGTTGTCACTTACAACAATCTAATGTTGAACAAAAGTCAAGATATTGTAGCCGAGCTCTTTCTCTGTTCTGTCAGCCATCTCCCAAATAATGACACGGAGACACTATTAATTATGAATGCTTGGCTTTAGCTTACGCTTGGCCCACTAGCTCTTTTAACTTAATTTAACCTGCTTCTCTTCATTTATGTTTTGCCTTGGGGCTTTTTTTTTTTTTTAACCTTTCTTTCATTCTGTATATCCTACTCTTCTGATTCCTCCTTGTCCAGCTAGCTGGCCCCTGGCATCTCCCTGGTGTCTCTCTCTCTCTTTTTTTTTCTTCTGTCTCTCTCAAGCTTAGATTCCTCCTCCTACCTACTCTCTGCATGGAAATCCCACCTATACTTCCTGCCTAGCTTTTGGCCATTTAGCTTTTTATTAGACCAATCAGGTGCCTTAGGCAGGCAAAGTAAATAGATGCAACACATCTTTACACAGCTAAACTGGTTTTTCATAAAAAAATATGAAGATCTCATCCTTCAGAATACAGGTCTGAGTACTCGTTTTAGACTTTATCAGTGTCTTAGCGTGACTACACTATGACTAAAAGCAAATTTGGGGGGAGGAAATGGTTTATTTCACTCACAATTCCATATAACACTTCATCATCCCAAGTAGTGAGGGCAGGAACTCAAGCAGGGCAGGAATCTGGAGGCAGGAGCTGATGCAGAGACCAAGGAGGAGTGTTGCTTACTGGCTTGCTCTTTATGGCTTACTCAACCTGCTTTCTTATAGAACCCAGGACCATCAGCCCAGGGATGGTACCACTCACAATGGGCTGGACCCTCCCCCATCAGTCACTAAGAAAATTCTCTACAGTCTTGCCTACAGCCCAATCTTATGGAGGCATTTTCTCAATTGAGGTTCCCTTCTCTCAGATGACCATAGCTTGGGTCAAGTTGACTTAAAATTATCTGGCACAAGCAGCTCAATCAAGGTCATAGATAGAACTGTTCACTTTTTTGATACGCAGACATAGAACAATGGAAAATAACCAATGACAACAAAAGTACACCTCCAGGAGAAAGGCCCAAGAGCCCATGTTTTGGGAAAACTCACTGATCTCTTATCTTCAGAGTTTCTTTCTGTAGAAACGTTCTCAGTGGAAATCCTGTAATTCAGATGAGCCAGGTGATAGACTCATCCAGGAGAAATGAGTTTTGTTCAAGCATCACATTCTAAGTGTAATCCAAGTGGGCCTCCCCTTGTTCTGCCTTAGCCTCCCAGCACTCCCGGAAAGGTGATGTGAGTCACTGGGGGCAAGCTTCCCTGGAGGTCAGGAAATTTTCACTGATAGCTTCCTGGCTCTTATGAAGAGGGGAGTGTCTAGGGAGCAAGGCATGAATCTGCCTGAGTGATGAACCTGTTCCATCGACTCAGACTTCCTACCCAGCAGAATAGACTTGCAGACAATTCTAAAAGGCAACTCAAACTTTCTACTGCATTTGACTCCACAGCTGCAGGATGAGTGCCACACAGTGCCTGAAACACGAGTGGTTGAACCATTTGCCTGCCAAAGCCTTGGGATCCAAGGTTCGTCTCAGATCCCAGCTATTGCTGCAGAAATATATGGCCCAGAGCAAATGGAAGGTATTTTTTTTTTCAGTAAAAGCTGCATTTGTCTTCTGTCCTTTGAAAGAATTACAGGCAAGTTTTAACTAATATATGAATTCTAAAGGGAATTTAAAGGGAAAACTTCTCTCTTATGTCATAGCTACTAGCTGGATTAAAAGATGCCACAAGGCTGGGTGTGATGGTGCACCATCTTAATCTCAGCACTCTAAGAGACAGAGAAAGAGGCAGGCCAATCACAGAGTTCAAGGCCAGCCTAGTCTACATATCAAGTTCCATTAGAGAACAACAGATTTCTCAGGGATTATGATATAATATAATAGGACAAAACAAAAACTATCGGATTGGCATCGGACAAAATAAACAGGAAGAAAAGAGCCCAAGAGAAGGCACAAGAGTCACAGATCCACTCATTCACATGCAGAGTGCCAGTTTTTAATAAGCCCACATGCCTAGACTTCTTTAATTCTTTGCATCATTGCTTCATAAGTACTGATCTAAAATGTGCTTTTTCTTTTCTTTACCCCCCCCCCTTTATTTCAAGAAACATTTCCATGTGGTGGCTGCAGTCAACAGATTAAGGAAATTTCCAACCAGTCCCTAAATCTTCAACTCTGCTGCTCCACTGGGCCCAGGAATTCTTGAGACAACATGAAGGGGTAATATGAAGAGATTATTCAAGATTTTATGTAGTCTGGCCTTTTGCCATTATTGATTCCTCTTGGTTTGCAAAGAATGGTGAAAGAAAGAGAAAGAAAAGAAGAAAAAAGAGAAGAAAGGGAAAAGGAAGAAAGCAAGGGAGCAAGGGAGGAGAAAGGTTGTTGTTGCCTTCCTTGTGGCTGAAAAGTGGGTTTGTTTGTTTTGTTTTGTTTTGGAAGCCCTAGTAATGCCCTCTGCTCAGGTCTGATATGCTGCTTCCTCCCCAGCACCCTTACTTTTGGTAACAAGAGAAGGCAGGCTCAGGATGGGCAGGGGAAGTCCCACTTTGTTTTTGCCAAATTTGAATTCCATACTTGCATAATTAAACAACCCAGTAGGGAGGGAAGGATGGATCGGGAAAGGGTTAGGGACAAGAGTGGGGAATGAATATGACCAGAACATATTGTATGAAATTCGCAAAGAATTAATAAAATATATTTTTAAAAGAGGAATCATTATTTGAGCTGCTTGCAGCTGGTCGGAGAAGTTTCTGCAGTGGGTGGCAGTCAGTGCAAAGCCTGTCAAAGTGCAGAGCTGGGAGGCTCAGCTCTGGTCTTATTAACCTCCCACTATCCAAGGTTCAGGGAGAGCCACAGAGGAGAGTGCAGAAAGAATGTAAGAGTTGGAGAGGAGGATGAATGAGTGCTGTGAAATGCTGTCTTCTAGACACGACAGCTTCTGTGTGTACAAGATCAAGTCAGTCAAAATTCCATCATGGATGGGAGACAGCTCTGAGGCTCACCCCTGTTGGTGGAGCAATTGGCAATCGGTGGCTGATGAGGTAGGGAGAATCATTCTCCTTTGGCGTCTAGTGGTAGCCATTCATGCCCCAGTGGATGCTACATACCCATGTACATAGGGGCAGTTCTAGTTAGACTTGGGAGGTCACTCACAGCAAAAAAAATAAATGAAAAGAGGGCACGAAGCTAGGAGGGAGGTGGGATGGGAGGACATCAGGGAGAACTGGAGGCAGGAAGATGGCTATGATCAATATGTATTGTACTACTGCATGGAGTGTTCAAAGAATAAAAAAAAATCATTTAAAAAAGAAGTCAGTAGATTCTTTTGCAAGGAAAGCCATGGCACTGTTTCTCCCAGTGCAAAGATTTTCAGTGTCAAGAATGTAATGATTCAGGCATTATGCTGGCCTGCCCCTGCTACCTGCCAGAATGCACTTTGGAAGTGCACTAGTTAACCCAGGTGCAAAGGACCCCTTTAAAAGAAAGACCTCTGCCCATTTACATTCTCTTTCTGCTCTCTCTTTGCTGCTCTTTCCCACTGTTCCTCTGGGGCAGACAGGACTTTTCCTGTCTCCCTCTTCTCTTCTGTCTCTGTGTCTCTTTCCCTCTTTTCTCTTTCCTTCCCTCCCCCAATAAAACTTCTCACTTAAGCTCTGTCTGCCTGACATTTTTGTCCCTCTGCTCATGTGAATACTTTGCCAACTTGTGAAGTGATTTAAAAGGTTTAAAACTAAACCATTCTCATTTCCTTATTCCTTACTTGTTTGTAGCATTCCTAATAATACTTGGTGTGTGTCTGTGTGCTTTCACCCATGTGTGCATGTTCCCATGGGGCCAGAGGTCAGTGATGAGTGTCTTCTTCAATTGTTCTTTGCTTCCTGCTTTGGCTAGATTGGCTATCCAGCAAGTGCGAGGGGGCGGGGGCGGGGGTGCTCCTGTCTCTAATGCTTAGTATTGTATTACAGGCTTTGATGGAGTGCTGGGGATTGAGTTCAGGTCCTCATGCTTCTATGGCAAGCAGTTTACCAACTGAGCCAGCTCTCCAGCCTCCAGATCCCTTTTCATCCAGCACTTGGAGTCACTGTAGTGACTTTTATATTTTAGTTAGATATGCATAAGTTTCACATCTTTCTCACTCCCCTCTCCCCACACACAGATACACACACAACTTTCTGGCAGAGAGCCTGGGTGTAGACAAGGAGTCATTCTGCTGCTGTAGTTCTCAAATTGCAACATTCCTCAGCAATGCTAGCCCTTATCAGGATGCTAAGGTTTCTGGGACCATCATGTAAAAGCCTGCTCCAAGATGACCACGAATGAACATCTGAAGAAGGGCTGTGAAGGCCATCTTAGACAGTCAGTGATCTGGCAGTGTCAGTTATCTTGCTGGGGAGGATGTAAGGGCAGTCTCCAGAGCCTGGAAAGGACTAGAAAGGATCTTCTGAGATCCCTCTAGGAGATTGGTTCTTACCCTCCCAGACCCAGGACCCTTGGTGGATGCTGAGTCTTCCTGGAAACACATACAGATTGTTGCACTGATCTAGAGAAGCTTGTCCAGTAGAAATGCAAAAGAAGCCAGTCACACAGTTTAAATTTCTCACCATTCCTCCAAAACATCTATTTAAATTGACTTTAATCATTTAACCAAATTGTTAGAGTCTAACAATGTACCAAATATTTGTATTGTTTTGGTTCATATTAAGTCTCCAAAATCTGGTGTGTAATTTATACATATAATACATGCTGATTCAGATGCTATGCTTTTGTTAGATAGAATCTATACTTAGAGTTTATAAACTATACCGTAGAGAATGTACTTATATAGTCAAACACCTTGGAACATGCTTTTCATTGTAATCAAGTGAGGTATCCATTTTTACACTTAATTAAAATTAGAAAATTAGTTTAGGGACTGGAGAGATGGCTCAGTGCCTAAGAGCACTGGCTGCTTTTCCAGAGGACCCGGGTTCAGTTCCCAGCACCCACATGGCAACTCACAACTGTCTGTAACTGCAGTTACAGAGGATCCAACACCCTCACACAGACATAAATGCAGGCAAAACACCAGTGCACATGAAATAAAAATAAATACTGCATTAGCCACATTTAATATTTAATAATGCTGTTTTTTTTTTAATGGTTTTGTGTTGGGTTGGCTGGTCAAGAGAGAATCCTGTGTCTACTTTATTGCTGCAACTCTTTGTCTATGTTCTTAGTTTTTGACTAGAGAACTGATTTCTCTCAAAAGCCTCTATTACCAAAGAACCCACGTGCTTTAGTTGTAGGATGTGGAGAAATCAAGGGGGTGCTGAACTCCTAACTGGCTGGCATTCCCAATGCTGGAAGGGGCTATATAAGCTGCCGAATTGTCACCAATGGTTTTGTTCAGCTATGGAACCTACCTGTTGGCTATCACCATGCCAAACAAGATGTGCCCATTGACATTGTAGTAATGCAACTTTTGAAGGTACAACTAAGTTTTCCAATAGGATTAAAATCCACTTCACAGGAGGCACCCCATTCTTCCTTTCGTAAAACAGAGCAAAACTCCATGGCTAGGAAAGACTTGGGCCTCTTTGAGGAGTCTGTTGTTGGGTTAGATGGAAATGATGTCCCTATTAAATTGTCCTCTGAACATTTGTGCTGACACCCATATATTGCTGCTGCTTTTAGTCATGAGAAGTTCTTGTTACATTTGGTATGTAACTGGTTAAAGGACCAAGCAGCTGTTACAGTGTCTTCACTACTGTTTGGCATAGCATCCCAGTGTCAGCCTTAAAAAGAAAAACACAATCATACATGCATATCAAGCCCTCAATGTTAAGTAAACCCTGCAGAAGAGTGGGAAAATGTAAACCTGGAAGGAAAGGTGCAGTATAGTTATTTTCTCTTGGCATGATATGCTCATTGGTGTCTTGAAGCAGAGGCATTAAGAAGGTGACTGTGGGAAACCTTGGCCCACAGTTGTAGCATCAAAGGAAAAGAGCATTACTGACATCAAGATCTAGGCACGACACACATACAGAAAAGCAGGCATAAACATGTACATACATTTTAATAAACATTTAAAAATGAACTGGAGAGCCGGGCATTGGTGGCGCACGCATTTAATCCCAGCACTTGGGAGGCAGAGGCAGATGGATCTCTGTGAGTTCGAGGACAGCCTGGTCTCCAGAGCGAGTGCCAGGATAGGCTCCAAAGCTACACAGAGAAACCTTGTCTCGAACCCCCTCACCCTAAAAAAAAAAAAAAACCCTTGAGTTTAGGGTGGAAATTACATTGTGTTTTAATTTTACAAGTCCCTTTCTTTTACCGACCATTGCCAGGGCACTTAGTAGTTATACCAGACATGTTGACAATGTAAGGCAAAAAATATTAGCAGAAAGTAATCAAGAGATGGTGAATTGAGGACTACAGTTTTATAAAATAGAACTATTATAGATTATTTGCTGCTCAAGCATAATCTTGTTTGTCTGCAATTTCCTGGCATGTTTTCCTTTAATGTGTCATATTTTCCTCACTCTACTGATAGTCAAATTAATGATTTTCACAATTCTCCTATGCTTGCCTATACTAATTAGCTTATCAATAGAGGCAAGGCATTTAACCTTGGCCTCTATTATGGCCACCATTTTTTCTTCAAAAAAGTAGAAAGGAGAGGATGCTGGGAGTACAAAGTCCTTACTTTCACAGATAGCACTAGGAAAGCCAGAAATATTAAATATGCAGGGTTGTCTTTTTTTTTTTTAAAAAGGAAAAGATGTATAACCTGTTTGCTGCCCAGAAGACTGGGAATGGAGATAGCTAATAGCTTAGGTGATCCTTGCACCACTATCTGTAGGGTCAAGGGATCTCCCAGCCTTCCACAAGCAGGACCAGAGTAAATTTCTGCTATCCTGGGTTTTTTTGTTTTTCCATATGAAGTTGAGTATTGTCTTTTCAAGGTCTGTGAAGAATTTTGCTGGGATTTTGATGGGGATTGAATTGAATCTGTAGATTGCTTTTGGTAAGATTACCAAATAATTCAATTAAAAAATGGGGTACAGAGCTAAACAGAATTCTCAATAGAGGAATCTAAAATGGCTGAAAGACACTTAAGAAATTGCTCAAAATCCTTAGCCATCAGGAAAACGCAAATCAAAACAACTCTGAGATACCATCTTACACCCATCAGAATGGCTAAAATAAAAAACACAAACAACAGTTTATGTTAGAGAGGATGTGGAGAAAGGGGAATGCTCCTCCATTGTACAGCCATTTTGAAAATCAGTATGGCAGTTCCTTGGGGAAAATGGGAATGAGCCTACCACAAGATCCAGCAAGTCCACTCTTAGGCATATACCCAAAAGAAGCACATTCATTACAACAAGGACATCTGTTCAACCATGTTCATAGCAGCATTATTCATAATAGCCAGAACCTGGAAGCAACCTAGATGCCTCTCAACCAAAGAATGGATAAAGAAAATGTGGTACATTTACACAATCGAGTATACTCAGCAGAAAAAAACAATGGAATCTTGAAATTTGCAGGCAAATGGATGGAACTAGAAGAAACCATCCAAAGTGAGGTAACCCAGTCACAAAAAGACAAACATGGTATGTACTCACTCATAGGTGGACTTTAGACATAGAGTAAAGGATTACCAGCCTACAATCCACACTGCCAGAGAAGCTAGGAAACAAGGAGGACCCTAAGAGAGACATACAGGGTCCCCTGGAGAAGGGGGAAGGGACAAGAACCCCTGAACAAATTGGGAGCACAGAGAGAGGGGGGAGAAATGTAAGAGAAAGAGGAGGGGGGAAGAGATCATGAGGGATCAGGAAGATGGAGTCAGCAGCTAAATAGAGGAGAGCAAGAAATCTAAAGAGAGGAGAGCAAGAAAAGAGACACATCAATAGAGGGAGCCATTGTAGATTTAAAGAGAAATCTGGCACTATAGAGAATTATACAGATTCACAAGGATGACCCCAGCTAGGATTCTAAGCAATAGTAGAGTAGTCCTCAATTCATCATCTCTTGATTACTTTCTGCTAATATTTTTTCCTTACATTGTCGACATGTCTGCTAAAACTACTAAGTGCCCTGGCAATGGTTTGAGAAATCGACTTCCAAAAAAATGCAAGAAATGATTTTGGCTTAATAAAGATTACTCAAAGCTGAGAACTGCAACTCAAACGCATAAAAAAATAACATTTATTGGGCTGGAGAGATGGTTCAGTGGTTAAGAGAACTGGGGTTTGAGTCCCAGTACCAACATGGCCGCTCGGACTGTCTGAAACTCTGGTCTTAGTGGATCCGGCATCTTTTTCTGGCCTCCACTGGCACCAAGGCACACATGTGGTGCACAAACAAACATGCAGACAGAATAATAATAAACATAAAATAAAACAAATGAATCTTAAAAAAATAAACATTTATTAACTTAGGCTGCATAACCCTGATTTAATGAAATAAAATTAAAAAACACAAAGATAAGTAAAATGTCTTAGACACCTTTCATCTTGAAATGTGCATTCTTGGTTAAGTCAGGAGACTTCCTTAAGCTTAACACAGAGAAGCAAAATGGTCCCAATTCCCTCCCTCAGGAAAAGACAGACCCGAGTCTATAGTAACACAGAGAAGCAAAATGGTCCCAATTCCCTCCCTCAGGAAAAGACAGCCCCGAGTCTACCCAGGTGGTATGGCTGATCTATTCCCATGTGAGGAGTCTATGCTAGTGTCTTCCATATTGAGACGATCCTCAGCATGCCCTGTATATAAGTTTAGACAAGATTGCCCTTCATCTTCCAGACCTCACTCTGCAATGGCTGTTTGAGCTTTGGCAGCATTTTCTAAAATCTTCCTTTTCCATTCCTCATAATCCTGTGTCAGACCTTCATCTTTCCGTGGTTTATGTGGGGTTTCTATTACTTCTTTTAGTTCTGTAAGAGAAAGTAATTTCAAACTTACATTTACAAATGGCATAAAAGTGAAAATTAAAAGCATCTACCTCCATTAAGGTAAAAGAGTAAGACCCTAAAGTGGAATGTAACATGGCAGATTTTACTTTTCTTTCTCTTACATGCTAAGTGTTTTAAGACACTGAACAACATCACAAACATTATGAAATGGGTGCTAACATTAACCAGGTTTTACAGATTAGGAAACTGAAACTTGTTGAAGTTGTGTTACCTTTTCAAATGCACAAAGCCAGGGGGTGGTATTAAGCAATTAAAAAGCAGGCCATTAGCATCACATTGTCTTTGTAGCTAGAGATCTTATGTAAGTAACTAGAATTTAACTTGAAAATATATTTTTAAGGAAAAAAAGTAGCCAATCACAAAAGTTACCTTTTTGGTTATCCAAATAGGAACCTCACATTAGACCACATTTAAATGAGTAGTTTGCCTCAATTGGATCTTCTCTATTCTCCTTTTAGGTTCAGTCTATTGGGATTTGCTGTTTAACTTCTAGGTGGAGTTCTCTGAACCAGTTTTGGGTTTGATGCTGCTCAATTTATGAGTCAGTCTCTGCTTAAATTCTATTTAATTTGCTTTCAGATTTTAACAGCGACAAAGCAAGATATGAAATCAGGCAGCTAAGCGACCCACACTCACATACATTGGGGTGTGTGTGTGTGTTGTGTGTGTGTGTGTGTGTGTGTGTGTGTGTTTTAAGACAAGGTCTCACTGGTTTAGAACTTGCTTTGTAGACCAGGCTGGCCTTGACCTCAGAAATCTGCCTGTCTCTGCCTCTGAGTGCTGATATAAAAGGAGTAAAGGTGTGCTTCGATTAAAAATGTGTATCACCTGTGGTAGACTTTGGGGAGCCCCTTTTGAGGGCCTTACCCTGCCTGGGGAGCGGAGGGGAGATGGCTAGGGGCAGGGGGGGGGGGGGGGTGGAGGAGAAGGAGAGGGAGAGGGAGAAGGAGAGGGAGAGGGAGAAGGGATTGACATGTGAAGCAAGCTTGTTCCTAATTTGAACTAATAAAATAATAAAAAAAAATGTGTATCACCATGCTTGTACTGCATGGCCTGGAATTCACTATATAGACCAAAATGGCCTTGAATTTACAGCAATCCTCTTGTGTCTATGTTCTGAGTGCCAGGATTACAGATGTGTACAACCACGCCTGGCTTGAAAAATAGATCTTATCAAGAGTTAGTTAGTGGCCAGACTTTTCTCCTGTCATGTAAATTGTTAGGAATGTCACAGGATTGCTCACTGCATAAATCACATCGCACCAATTTCAGCACCAGCACAGCTAGTGTGCCCTACCTTTTGCTGGTAGTTCAACCAATGGCTTCTTTTTCTTCAGTGCTGGACTAGCTAAATCTCCAGAGTCTCCTTTCAGAAAAGGAAAAAGTGGTTTCCAGGTTAATATTTTTATTCAATTTTATTATTTGGTAATATAGGTCCTTAGCTGGATCACAGAGATTTGAAACCCAGAGGAGCAAAGAGAGGCGAAGGAAAGGCAGATAATCTTGCTCTTCTCTTTTCTGGGCGCCTCTCCTGTTAGACATGAGAATCACTTCCATCCTAGCTTATGAACACAGAGGCTGGCATTTAATACTGGAGTTTCTTTGTTTTGAAACAGGGTTTCACTATGCAGTGTTGGTGACCTACCTGGAACTCACTATGTAGACCAGGCTGGCCTCAAACACAGAGATCTGCTTGCTTTTACATCCTGAGTGCTGGGATAACTGCTTAGCTGACACTGATATTTCTTAAAATATCTATTTTCTGTATATGGATTTGTAGAATCATATTTTTAAAGGTACTAAACCACTCTTTTTGAAGAACATGTCAATTTTCTCATCAAAGAATTCATAAATCAGCATTTTTCAACTACAGAATACTCACTGTTAACCTGCTGCCCAATCTTCTCTAACTGCTTACATAGCCGATCAAATATTGCTTTTTTCACACCGGATGTAGTTATCATTTTAGTTTTGTCCACTTTTAGCTTCAGAATTCTAAAAAATAATTTCATAAATTTAATGTTTTCAATATTACCAATCTTCTTGGTAAGTCAACCAGATTGCAAAATTATTACCCATTGCCCACACTAAGATTCTCCAGCTATCTAGATTTTCCTTTATTCCAAATGCCATTAGCTAGAAGCTTGTAAATTTGCTCTCTTATTGAACCAACAGCTAAAATGCATCTGTTCTGCAATAAATGGGGCAAATAAAGACATCTGTTATAGAGCGTCCTGCCTTTTAATGTTACCAATTTGCACAATGGACTCATAATATCTTCAAGTGTTCAGCTCACTTTGAGAATGTTTCCGTTTACACAGGAGTGTCATATCATTTTGCTTCACTCCCCAAAGCCCAAAACCCTGCTCATGCTCCTCTAGAACAAGCAATTAAAAATAAAAAAAAACAACCAGGGCTGGAGATGGATCAGTGGTTAAGAGCACATGCTACTCTTTAAGAGGGCCTGGGCTTGATTCCCACACACACATGGTGGCTCACACCCACCTGTAACTCCAGTTCCAGGGGATCCAATGCCCTCTTTTGGCCTCCATAGGCAGCACATACGTATATACACACACACACACACACACACACACACACACACACCCACCCACCCAAGACAACTGACCATTTCTTGCTCAACTTAATATAATTCCAAAAGTGGAGTTATTTGACTATTTTCAGTTTTTTTGTAACATCAACTACATTTCTTCCTTGGACACCCACATACCCTTGTTGAATCAAATGGATATTATTTATGAATGACAATCACTCCTGGTATGTTGCTAATCAAGCCAAATACACCAAAATTAATGACTAGATAGTAAGAAATAATCCTTTAATAGACTATTACATGATTTTTCTGTAGAAAGTGCTCTCAAAAGGTGAAATAATACAATCTCAAAGATATAAAAAATTATTAGTATTTCATGGTAGTAATTCAGTATATATACTGATAACTAAATATTTTGATGATTCAAAATATTTATTTCAGAAATGTTTTATACTCAAATGAACAGTTAGTTGTAGGCAGTACTTTTTAAACAATATGCCTGGAAAATCAAACATGAACCACTGTCTTGGCAAATTTTAACACTTACAAAAAGCATGGTCTGAATGAGAATACTTTGCATAGACACATGGTTGCCACCTGGCAAGTAAACTTCTTGAAACACTAGTTCTTTTTTTTTTTTTTTTTTTTTTAAGATTTATTTATTTATTATGTATACCGTGTTCTGCCTGAAAGTATGCCTGCAGGACAGAAGAGGGCACCAGATCTTGACAGATGACTGTGAGCCACCATGTGGTTACTGGGAATTGAACTCAGGACCTCTGGAAGAACAGTCAGTGCTCTTAACCTCTGAGCCATCTCTCCAGGCCAAAAACACTAGTTTTAAGTTGGCAGCTATTTTACCAGATAACTCAAGAATCTGATCACCAGGCCACAAACCACAGTGTTTCAGGCTTACAGTAGAAAATGTGCTGAGCTGAAGTCAATGAAATTAGTATTCTTTAGGAATGAAAAACTTACATATTGACAACATTTCCCAATGGTATAAGAACACTAAGACTAGAGCCCGGTGTTGAGGCACACACACTTGAATCGAAACATTTGGGTGTCTGAGGCAGGAGGATTACCGTGAGTTTAAGTCCAGCCTAGGGTGCATAGTGACTTTCAGGCCAGCATAGACTACACAGCAAAACTGTCTCAAAAACCCACAATAACCCTCCCTCCACCCCTCAAAACCCTATTTACCTGCATGCCGACAGTAGTGCAGCGGTGGTGAAAAGTGGCCTGGACAAGTCGAGATCTGCCTGCTGTGCTTCGGTAAGGCTGGACTCATAGCTAGGAGACAGGATTGTTTGTGGAATTATTTGTCAGGAAGCACTATTTCAAAGGGGCTGAAATGCAATGAAATAATTTAGAAAACAAACACAACTTCGTTGCAGCCTCACCTGGCTTCCAACTTGAATTGCCCTGACCTATTGCTAGCATTTGTTTGTTAGCTGTGCTACAGTAACTGGCTTAGAATTTTTAAAAAATATTTGTTTAGGAGCTGAAGAGATGGTTCAGTGGTTAAGAGCACTGGTTGCTCTTGCGGAGGACCCAAGTTCAGTTCCTAGTGTCCAAGTGGTAGCTCACACCATCCATAACTCAAGTCCAAGGGACCTGATACCCTCTTCTGATCTTCAGGCATGGATGAGGTGCACAGACAAGCATGCGGGCAAACACTTGTACACATAAAATAAATAAATCTTTAAAAGTAATACACACCTTTGCAGTATGTTTGAAGCCATGTCCACTGCTTCTGTACAGTCGAACTGTACAGCTAGGTCTCTTATTCCAATATTTGAATTTAATCCCAGTAAACACTCAAAAGATTTAAGACAGCTCTGATACATCTTCCTGTTCAAGCCAGAGAGCTTAATTAAATAAGCCTTTGAGAGGAAAACACACAAATTTTAAGTTCAATCTATTATTGTCCTTAAATATTTATTAAATGGCATTAATTATGCACTAATTTTATTTTAATAAAAAATCAACAATCACATCAAGCAGACCAATATTTCAAAGAACTCACACCATAGAAGGTTACAATCATGCATGTGTACAAATAATTTAAAAATGATTAAACTGTATAGCTTGTCTAAGCTGCACAAAATGTCCAGAAGGAGACACATATATGTGATTTTGGTGGAAATGTGCAAATTATACTGGGAAGAATAAAGGAAATATTGGGAGTAGAGTGAGGAAGGTGTGTGTCTGGAAGACGGGGAGAAGAGCAGGATGCTCCACCACAGTAGGGAACCAACTCCATCTGGGGTAAGCTAGGGGAGCTTTACAAAAGATATAACAACAAAGCAGAGGCACATTAAGACAAAAGGAACTACAAAACTACATTTACAAAACTACAAGTCGCTAAGTGAATTGATAGCTTGAGATCAGGGTAAAGACACTGAAGAATTGGATAGCAACAGAAAACGAACAGTTTTAATGAATATATCAATTATGACACAAGTACTGTTAGATACATTACACATAGACTTCTTTTCTAATCATAATAATAATCCAATGAAAGACTTTTTGTTTTGTTTTGTTTTTCAACACAGGGTTTCTCTGTGTAACAATCATGGCTGTTTGGAACTCACTTTATAGACCAGGCTAGCCTTGAACTCACAGAGATCTGCTTACCTCTGCCTTCCAAATGCTGGAGTTAAAGGCGTGTGCCACCACCGCCCAGCAACATTTACTATCCTCATTTTATGGATGAAGAAACAAAACCGGCAGCTCACAGAGCTAGTAAATAGAACTGACATTTGGTTTCAAATGTGACTCTTCCTGACTCTAATATTCTAAAACATTAACCTCCAACTGTGAGAGTTAATCTCAACTTTCAACTTGATGAGACCTAGAATCAATCACACAAAGAGCCTCTGGGCATGCCTACTGGGATTATGTCATTGGATTAACTGGGTGGGAAGACTTGCTCACTGTGGGTGGCATAACTTCCTGACACAGGATCCAGGACTGTGTAAAAGGAGAAAGTGAACCAGGTATAATAATTCATTGATTTCTGCTTCCTGACTGTAGCTGCCATGTAGATTCTTCAAGTTGCTTTGATTGTGCCCTTGAGTTAGGAGCTAGAAACCCTCTCCTGTGAGCTGTTTTTATTGGGTAACATCACAGCAACATGAAAAGAAACCAAACTGCCCCCAAAAAGATTAAAATGAAGCAAGAAGCTTGAGTTTCACATCAGACCATTCAGATGTCCTATGGAACCTACTTACTCTATCCAAGGGGCACTTCATGCAGGACGCTGCAAGGTCCAGGCATATGACAGCACTGCTGGTTTCTGAACTGTGTGCAGACAGACTGGAGCACCTCACCTTAGACAGCCGCAAGTACTCCTCTGCTTTCCTGGTTATAAAGGCAAATGTTCACTGAAACTGTTCAGAACGTTGTCCAACACTTGAGCAAAGAATTGAATGTAGCAGACTCAGACCTCACCTAACTTTTGTGCAAGTTCATTTGGGGCCCAGAATACACATCCTTTGGGGAGGGAAAGTTCTTTAGATAGGACCAAAATGACTCCAGACTTAGCTGTGGCCAAGTGCTTTTTAAAGAAAAGTGAATTCAAGTCTTCCCCAAACTGTAAGAGCAAGGTAAACTGGAGTTAACTCCATCCTCAGAAAAAGTCACCTTGAGAAATTCCCTACATGGCCCAAGGCTGATTCAGCCCGAGCCAAGTCCCATAAACAGTTCCAAGGAGCACACAAACTGTGCCCACCCTGGACAAAATGACCCCATCTGGATGGTCAGGCAATGACTAATTTTGGTAAATAACATCTCGTCACAATTGTCCTTGTCGGCAACCGTTAGTAACAATTTTCAAATTCCCAGAGCCCATGAGTCAATGAATCCAAAGGTTACCTACTCTTACCCAACCATGAATAGCCAACCAAGGCACGTTACCATCCTGCTTGCATTGTTTTTTTTTTTTACCCCCTTTAAAAGCCCCTCACAATTGGGGCCAGGCACCCTTTTCCTGCAGCTGCTGTGCCTGTTGGCTGGACAGGGTCCCTGCCGAGGCTTGTAACTTAATAATAAACCTTATGCGTTTGCATCATTGAGTAGGCTCCTTGGTGGTCTTTTTGGGGTCTCACGAACTTGGTATAACATAAACAATCCCTTTCCTTCTAACATTACTTGAAGAAGTATAAAGAGTTGAAGGCAGGCAGGTTAGAGAAAAATCAAATTCCTTCTTTCTCTTCCTTAAATGTGCGGTTCTCAGTTTGGGCGGCTTGTGAAAACAGTGGTGAGTCTCATCCCATTTCTGGCCAGTATTCCTGGATGAGGCTTATGAAGTTTTTATTCCTAACAAGATGACATTGTCGCTGCTGGGGATTCGGGACTACATTCAACGATCACGGAGTCCCATCTTCACATCTAACTAGTGCTCCTTTCTCCCCCTTCCCACACCTCACTGGGTGCTGAGACTCTCGGACTGGTTCTGTCTACACGCTCGCCTGCAATAAATAGCTTCACTTCCAACGACAGATCATACAATGATCCTCCCAATCCCAAGAGGCCGAGGCTACCCGGGCCACTCCCGCCACATTTTTCCATGCATGGCACTATCTAACCAATCGGCCTCAGCCTGGAGCCCTTCCTGACTTCTTACGCCCTCTGACTGCCTTACCCTGGCCGTTTACAGTCATTTCCACAGGCTCAGTCCTGCGTGTGGGGCTCACCGCTGTAAACAGATTCTGGCGCCTGGTTCCTTTCCCGACCACCGCGCACCCACAGGTCTAGACGACTACAAGCGCCCTCTCGGCCATCTCCCGAGGTAGGGCCGCCCGAGTGTCGCCCACACCTCACCGCCAGTGCCCCAGGGCGGCGACAGGGACGTATCCCAGCACGCACAGTCGTACTCACCTCAGGACCCCCGGCTCCGCAAGGCCGAGGCGCGGGGCGAGGCGCCGCACCAGTTCCGACGCCATGGCTGGGAGAAACGCGCGCCGCACAGACTGTCAGAGCGCTAAGGCCCGCCCCCGGCGCATGCAGATTGGCTGAGACTGTGCTACACAAACCAATCCTGATCTTCCTTCCGCGCAAGCGCACGCGAGGACGTGCTGGTCCCGGGGAAGGGAAGGTCTCCGAGCTCTATCGCTGCCCTCCTTCCGCCGCGAACCCCT